AAGATCGCAACTAATTGATTATTGAAGTAGTTGCAAACCAATTTAGCATTTTGATTCATCAGTTTTTTAACCACCAGAGCCATAACATAATGATAAAAATAATGCATCGGTTTTATACAGTGTCATTAGTCATTCACTCCATACACGGTGGGGATAAACTACTACTGTAGCCACAGCTGCCCTGGGGCACACTGACAGAAGCGAGGCAACCAGTACGTGCCATCGGCCCCTCCCACCACCACCAACCATTCACACACACACCAGATTCATTCTAGGCAATGGGGGTGAAGTGTCTTGCCAAGGACACAACGACAGCATGCAGTGGGAGTTGATGGTGAAAGTCTTGAGGTGGGCTCGAACCCACAACCTTCTGGCGCAAAGGCCAATGCTCTAACAACTGAGCGACTGTTGCCCATATAAGGAAAATAACTACAAATAATACTCCAGAATGACATGTATAAGATTGGCTTTTAGCTGTGAATTTAAACAACTAATTGATTAACTGAACACAAGAGTCACCCCCACAGAGACTGGGTCGGTTCTGCCCATCATCCTCCGGCCCATAACACCCTGGATGCCAACATGCACCCGTCCCACCACACCACTCAAACCACTTCAGTTGTATAGATCCTCCCTGTTCTCCCAAAACAACCAGGTCAGCACCACACACTAACACTTGTCAGAGGTTGCTGAACCCCTTCAGGTGTAGCAGCCACGCTCCTGCAGGTAAGTGTCACACACACACACACGCTGTGGGCTGCAGGCGTTCCACTGAAGCCACACACACACGACCATTTTTCTTTACATCAGCCTTTAATACTAGTGAAGTTATATCAAAAAATACACTAAAAGCAGCAGAGTGACGACTGTTTGTTTGTAAGTACATATAATTGTGTTACATACATAGAAATAGACCTCTTGATTGAGCGTGTGTGTGTGTGTGTGTGTGTTATATTTGGCATATTCAAAATAGATTCTTGCAATACATTCCAGATTTGTTTTGTCTAAATGAAATAAAAAAGAACAAAAATCCCCAGTGTGATGTGTCTCTGCTCACCTGCGTCTGAGTGAGCTCCGCCTTCAATCCCTCTGCGAGCACACGCTTATTTAGACTTGGCCTTGGCCGTAACAAGGTTGTGTGACTAGAAAATGTATAAGATGGAAGAAACATGAGACACAATTTGAGCTCTTTGAGACTTTCATGATTGTTTGTGTCCTCGTGGCAGAGTCTGGAGCAAACCAAAATAAATAAGAATACATAATGCACTGTGGCAGAGGGGACAGGCTGTTCAGCTGTGACCCAAAGTCGGCTGCCTTTATCAAAGAGACCGACGCAGCAGTGTGCACCGCATCCATCTCTGCAAAATACAACTGACCGACTGAAGAAAACACAATAAGAATCATCAAACAGAATTAATTAATTCAGTCTCATCAAAAAATTCTATGAAACTAATGAATGATACTTGGCCTGGGAACAGTTTCTGACAATATGTTCCACTCAAGAGTCATTGCCTAACATTGCACCACAACGCAGTCTGACCACTGTAAATAAAATCAATTATGGAAAGGTTGGAAGTTCACAAATCTACTTTTCGGACAATAGTTGCTTTCGAGTGTAACACAATCTCACTAAGGTGACACGAAAGACAAATAAACGAAGAAGTCCCTGAAGCAATCCAGAACCTTTTGAGCAGCAGAAGCAGCAGTTCAACGCCTGGACACTGTGAGACTGACACTGTCCATTAGCATCACACTCGTCCACTCGCATCAGCTCAACCACTGGACACAACAGGGACAAACACAAACAGGTTTCTGCTCTTTAGAGTACCTTTTCTCTCGGTTTCATTACATAGTTTTACAGAAAGGTAATGCAATCTGAAGTGAGGGCCGTCTGGCATTTTGGTTCTGTGGTCCCATGAGTGTTGGAGGATACTATTAAAGCTGTACCTAACTTTGAAACCCAACACAGATATAATAACAATGTCACACACCACCTCTGCTGCTGTGACCTTAAGTGCTGTTGCATTACTATTGTTTGTGACTTTTACATTTATGATAATGATAATGTCATTTTTCTTACACGGTGGTGATAAACTACTACTGTAGCCACAGCTGCCCTGTAAGGTAAAGTAAAGAAAAAGGTGCGCTTTGTTTATCCCGTAGGGCATATCCCCTGCATTTGACCCATCCTGATGCCACAAGGCTTCCATCAGGAGCAGTGGTCGCCGTAGTAACAGCGCCCGGGAACCCATCTCCAGATGTTGACGCTCGGCTTGGACAGGGCTACTGCAGCTGGAGGATTTTACCAATAGTGTGCATGTTTTTAGTGATAGGGGAAAGCGGAGCACCCGTTGGGAACCTATGCGGACATGCAAACTCCACTCAGAAAGACCCAGTTCCGAATGGGGATTCGAACCCAGGACCTTCTTGCTGAGAAGAGAGAACCAGGCCCTGCCTGCACAGCTTCAGAGGTCTGATAGGATCTGGCTTTTGCATGCAGGTGTGGCCATTTATGTATTTAATTGATTGTCTGCTGCTGAACACTTGAATTTCTCCTTCAGGGATCAATAACCCTAACCCAATTATCATGAAATAACATGTTATTTCATGATAATTTGGTATCATGAAATAATATGATAGTTGTATATCATGAAATAACATGATCCGTATCTTGTACAAACATGAAATTGAAATAACATTAAAGTAACATGAAAAAACATGATACCAGCAACGACAAAAACACACACACTCACAAGTGAACCTAACAAGCTTCCGTAGTGGTCTGATTTGATTACAAAATAGTATTCTTTGTTGCTCTTTGTTCTTGGGATAAACAAAGTGTATTTATGAAAAATGTTTAGATACTTTTACAGGAGCTTTAATGAAGGCAGGTTTACAGTTTTATTTTGTGAGGATGAGAATCAATGAGGCAGTTTTGTGTCTGTGAATGATGGCTCTGTTTGGCAAAAAGCAGCTGCGCTTCATTTTAAAAGAACGATAGAAGCAGGACTATAGTCTGTGCATAATCCATCCATCCATTTTCTACCCTTTAATCCATTTCTGGGTCAGGGGGGTGGCAATCAGAGATGCCACCCAAGTCTCATAGCACCAGCCCCTCACTGACCCTCTGCAGGTGGTGAGTCCACAGGAGGGCATATAGTCTGTGCATAATGTAGTCAGAAATTCTTTGTGTGCTTTGAGCCAAAAGCATAGCTGACATCAGGCCACGAAGCCACCTTCTTAAAATGCTGCCTACAGGTCGTTGTGCTCAGCTGCAGACCTGATTTACATGCATCTTCCAGCGGAACCGAAACTGACACTTTAGCCTCAACAATGCGCATCTCGGCGGCTGACCGCTCCAAGCGCCGCTCGTTCAGGACGCACTGACATTTCCCATGCAGCAGAGTGGGATTCTGCACTAAAGGAAAAGATACATCTGTATGTGAGTAGTTCAATTTTCAGCACATGGAGATGTGGTCAGAGCCATTCAATTAAATCTCACCATTTTGAAGGATAGAGAAGTTGTATTCACTCAAGATACTTGTGCGTTATTTTATTTAGAGTGGACCATATTAAAGACACATGCAAACATATGATCCATCAATAACAAAGGATAATGTCATATAAATGTTTTGTGCTTGGTATGTTCTCAGGGCAGACCAAAACATGTACAACAGGTACTTCCAAAAATAAGGAGGCAGGGGAGCATCAGACTGGCTCCTCATTATAACTGTGATGTACAGCAGGAGGGTGAGTATAGGTGTGTTTTTTTTAAAGAATTCAAAATTATAGTTTGTAGAAAAACCACTCATTTTAAAGGATTTGATATGTCAAGATTATGAAAGATATAAAGATGGTATTTGTCGCCATCATGTGGTTATTTGAAACTCTGTATCTAATAATAATAATAATTCTTAATAACGTTGTTGAAATGTTGAAATATCAAATCTAGGGTTCTGTTCAACTGTTGAAAAACCATCACTCACACCAGACCAGTCATACTCAATAAAGGAAACAAAACTTTGCTCGTTACTCAATGCATCATAGATATGATAGATAGATAGATATATCGAATTGAATTTCTTCTTCCTCACAGTTTACAAATAATCTCTTTTACACTATTTTCTTGTGACCCCAGCGGCAACATTCAATAATCATGTTGAATGTACAAAGTAATCAAAAAAGGTTTCCAAGGTAATAAATAAATGCAAACATCCCACACACCACTTGTTTAACAGTTGCACCTACAGTTCTGTTATTGAATTACAGTATAATTAATTCTTCAGCCTTACTTAAGATATGTGGCTTCAAAGCAAAAATATGTAGGAACTGGAAGAATATTCAGACCATACATTAGGTCTGTCTTTATATTTAAGTAATCTTGCATCCATACAGTGACTAATTCTAATATGATAGCACTGTCTGAATTTGTTACCCATATTATATTATTATTATTATACTGATGCCCCCCACAGAGGACTCCCCCTGCTGGAGCCCTCTGACTGCACACCGTCCATTGAATTGCATCTTATTGTGGATTACCCAGACTTCAGATTTTTTTTGTTATGTATAAAGACAGCTAAGATAGGAAGTAATTGCTAAAAAATTTACATTTTCCCCTATTGAATATTTTCCTCCAATGTATACAGTCCTTTCACACTTGCATTTTCACCATTATACTATAGAATAATGCCTGATTATTACATGAATACATTTTTACACAAGAAAATAAAACGCATTGAAATCAAATAATTAAGACTTTATTCACTTTCGGTTGAATTTTTAAAACGGCACAGAATTATTTTTTTTTGAGCAATTCGCCACGAGGCACTTCAGAAGCACTTCACCATTACTAGTAATCAAAACAAAAGATAAAATAGGCTTTAACCATCAGATCTTTGGCATTCCAAATCCTGTCTGTGGCCACAAGTGTGAGCATTTAAAATGAAAAACCTGAAAATAAGATCATGTATAAAACAGTGTATAGTCTCAGGCCTGTGTTATTGATAGTAGTAGTGGTGGTCATCTCTATGGCTGTGTTGCCTTGGCTCTTCTCTGTGGCTCTGTTCCCTCGGAGTTCTCCAGTTGGGGACGTCCCACTTTGGCGTGTGAGAATACGAGTCTCTGTCATTGGGCCACTGCCGGGCCACATATGGGCCATGGGCGGGTGGATAAGAGTCATTTCCCCTGCCTCTTCGGACCCATGTGGAGCCAGGCGGACGGGTCCTGATCTCAGCTCCGGGAAATGGTCCGCGCCACTGATAATTGGTCTGCGGTGGACTCCAATGGTACGGGCTGAATGGTGTGCCAACTGGGGGCAAAGGGGGTGACGACAGTAGGCCTGTTCCTGGAGCGGCAGCGGAATGGCTTGGAGGGTGGGGGTTGTGGTTCACTGGCCTTCTAAAACAAAATACAGAGAGTAGATTGCATCAAACATACTGTACATCATTTTGTGTGAGTTTTCCTACTTGGACCTGCAGTTAAATGAAGTAAAAACTACATGAGCACAAAACTATTCTCTACATTGTTCTTACAACCTTGTCTGTTATTTCTGTAATCCTCTATTGCTATTACAATTTCAGGGCTCCACCTTTTGTCTGTTTCACATCAAATCTCATTTCAGGTTTATGCAGCTCAAAACTCCTGTGGCTCTCACTATATGTTCAATGTAGCCGAGAACCAACGTAAACAGCAATGGTGGCAGATACACTTATGCTATGTGTGCTTCAAACACTACACAGAGGAGAAATTCTACTCCTTCGTTTGTCCAAACGAAACCACGCAAAGTTGTTTCTTGGAAAAGTGGAATGTGGAGGACATAGATAAGAGCGGTGCTGCAGACGTAGGAGAACAACAACAACAACAACACATTTGCCTTGTGGGAACAATTTATATTTAAGTAATTCAGATGATCAGATCAAAGTCTAATTTGAACTTTAAATCCAAATTAAGTCACCATTGGTCCCCCTCAGAGTCACAGAACTGCCCATGTCAATGGAAGAGTCCTCCATGAGGTACAAGTTCATTCAGCTTTCTTTTCAAACACTTATATCAGGCATGTCAAACTCAGGCCCGAGGCCAACGCGACCATTTTTACTGGCATTGATGGTATTGGGATACTGTATCATACTATACATGTTATACTTCATATAAAAGCTTATTTATGAATCTTTAATTAGGCAGAAGGGCCTATTGCTTTCACAAAGGTGAATGCGTGACAAACGCACCAGTGTCCACAGCAGATTTGCCGATTTATTTTTCTTTTTGCATTTCCAGGAATGCCTTACGGTTCATGCTCGGCCGTGACAGGTTGAAAAGCATCTGCCTACTTTCCCCAGAATGCCCTGCGCTTTTGGCTGTGCTTTTCTTCCCGTTTTTCTAACTAATAATAAACTGAATCTGAATCTGAATCTAACTGAGTTGAGTGAAATTATTGAACATTCTATTGATCCCATTTTCTGTTGATATTGATTACATGTCTATCACAATGTAAATTGTTCTAGTTTTATTGCCAGCCCTACTATACATATAAACTTGCATGGCCAAATGTCTTTCTTACTGCTAACATGTACAGTAGTATCACATGCTGCTAACATGTACAGTAGTATCATATGCTGCTGACATGTACAGTAGTATCACATGCTGCTAACATGTACAGTAGTATCATATGCTGCTAACATGTACAGTAGTATCACATGCAGCTAACATGTACAGTAGTATCACATGCTGCTAGCATGTGCAGTAGTATCATATGCTGATAACATGTACAGTAGTATCACATGCTGCTAACATGTACAGTAGTATCACATGCAGCTAACATGTACAGTAGTATCACATGCTGCTAACATGTACAGTAGTATCACATGCTGCTAACATGTACAGTAGTATCATATGCTGCTAACATGTACAGTAATGTCTCATGCTGCTAACATGTACAGTAGTATCACATGCAGCTAACATGTACAGTAGTATCACATGCTGCTAGCATGTACAGTAGTATCACATGCTGCTGACATGTACATTGGTATCACATGCTGCTAACATGTACAGTAGTATCACATGCTGCTAACATGTACAGTAGTATCATATGCTGCTAACATGTACAGTAGTATCACATGCTGCTAACATGTACAGTAGTATCATATGCTGCTAACATGTACAGTAGTATCACATGCTGCTAACATGTACAGTAGTATCACATGCTGCTAACATGTACAGTAGTATCACATGCTGCTAACATGTACAGTAGTATCATATGCTGCTAACATGTACAGTAGTATCACATGCTGCTAACATGTACAGTAGTATCATATGCTGCTAACATGTACAGTAGTATCATATGCTGCTAACATGTACAGTAGTATCACATGCTGCTAACATGTACAGTAGTATCACATGCTGCTAACATGTACAGTAGTATCATATGCTGCTGACATGTACAGTAGTATCACATGCTGCTAACATGTACAGTAGTATCATATGCTGCTAACATGTACAGTAGTATTATATGCTGCTAACATGTACAGTAGTATCACATGCTGCTAACATGTACAGTAGTATCACATGTTGCTAACATGTACAGTAGTATCATACTGCTAACATGTACAGTAGTATCATATGCTGCTAACATGTACAGTAATGTCTCATGCTGCTAACATGTACAGTAGTATCATATGCTGCTAACATGTACAGTAGTATCATATGCTGCTAACATGTACAGTAGTATCACATGCTGCTGACATGTACAGTAGTATCACATGCTGCTAACATGTACAGTAGTATCACATGCTGCTAACATGTACAGTAGTATCACAAGCTGCTAACATGTACAGTAGTATCACATGTTGCTAACATGTACAGTAGTATCATACTGCTAACATGTACAGTAGTATCATATGCTGCTAACATGTACAGTAGTATCACATGCTGCTAACATGTACAGTAGTATCACATGCTGCTAACATGTACAGTAGTATCATATGCTGCTAACATGTACAGTAGTATCATGCTGCTAATATGTACAGTAGTATCACATGCTGCTAACATGTACAGTAGTATCACATGCTGCTAACATGTACAGTACAGTAGTATCATATGCTGCTAACATGTACAGTAGTATCACATGCTGCTAACATGTACAGTAGTATCACATGCTGCTAACATGTACAGTAGTATCACATGCTGCTAACATGTACAGTAGTATCACATACTGCTAACATGTACAGTAGTATCACATGCTGCTAACATGTACAGTAGTATCATATGCTGCTAACATGTACAGTAGTATCACATGTTGCTAACATGTACAGTAGTATCACATGCTGCTAACATGTACAGTAGTATCATATGCTGCTAACATGTACAGTAGTATCACATGTTGCTAACATGTACAGTAGTATCATATGCTGCTAACATGTACAGTAGTATCACATGCTGCTAACATGTACAGTAGTATCACATGCTGCTAACATGTACAGTAGTATCATATGCTGCTAACATGTACAGTAGTATCACATGCTGCTAACATGTACAGTAGTATCATATGCTGCTAACATGTACAGTAGTATCACATGTTGCTAACATGTACAGTAGTATCATATGCTGCTAACATGTACAGTAGTATCACATGCTGCTAACATGTACAGTAGTATCACATGCTGCTGACATGTACAGTAGTATCACATGTTGCTAACATGTACAGTAGTATCATATGCTGCTAACATGTACAGTAGTATATGCTGCTAACATGTACAGTAGTATCACATGCTGCTAACATGTACAGTAATGTCTCATGCTGCTAACATGTACAGTTGTATCACATGCTGCTAACATGTACAGTAGTATCATATGCTGCTAACATGTACAGTAGTATCACATGCTGCTAACATGTACAGTAGTATCATATGCTGCTAACATGTACAGTAGTATCACATGTTGCTAACATGTACAGTAGTATCATATGCTGCTAACATGTACAGTAGTATCACATGCTGCTAACATGTACAGTAGTATCACATGCTGCTGACATGTACAGTAGTATCACATGTTGCTAACATGTACAGTAGTATCATATGCTGCTAACATGTACAGTAGTATATGCTGCTAACATGTACAGTAGTATCACATGCTGCTAACATGTACAGTAATGTCTCATGCTGCTGACATGTACAGTAGTATCACATGTTGCTAACATGTACAGTAGTATCATATGCTGCTAACATGTACAGTAGTATCATATGCTGCTAACATGTACAGTAGTATCACATGCAGCTAACATGTACAGTAGTATCACATGCTGCTAACATGTACAGTAATGTCTCATGCTGCTAACAACATGTAGGACAGTACAGTAGTATTATATGCTGCTAACATGTACAGTAGTATCACATGCTGCTAACATGTACAGTAGTATCACATGTTGCTAACATGTACAGTAGTATCATATGCTGCTAACATGTACAGTAGTATCATATGCTGCTAACATGTACAGTAGTATCATGCTGCTAACATGTACAGTAGTATCACATGTTGCTAACATGTACAGTAGTATCATATGCTGCTAACATGTACAGTAGTATCACATGCTGCTAACATGTACAGTAGTATCACATGCAGCTAACATGTACAGTAGTATCACATGCTGCTAACATGTACAGTAGTATCACATGCTGCTAACATGTACAGTAGTATCACATGCAGCTAACATGTACAGTAGTATCATGCTGCTAACATGTACAGTAGTATCATATGCTGCTAACATGTACAGTAGTATCACATGCTGCTAACATGTACAGTAGTATCACATGCTGCTAACATGTACAGTAGTATCACATGCTGCTAACATGTACAGTAATGTCTCATGCTGCTAACATGTACAGTAGTATCACATGCTGCTAACATGTACAGTAGTATCACATGCTGCTAACATGTACAGTAGTATATGCTGCTAACATGTACAGTAGTATCACATGCAGCTAACATGTACAGTAGTATCACATGCTGCTAACATGTACAGTAGTATCATATGCTGCTAACATGTACAGTAGTATCACATGCTGCTAACATGTACAGTAGTATCACATGCTGCTAACATGTACAGTAATGTCTCATGCTGCTAACATGTACAGTAGTATCACATGCTGCTAACATGTACAGTAGTATCACATGCTGCTAACATGTACAGTAGTATCATATGCTGCTAACATGTACAGTAGTATCACATGCTGCTAACATGTACAGTAGTATTATATGCTGCTAACATGTACAGTAGTATCACATGCTGCTAACATGTACAGTAGTATCACATGCTGCTAACATGTACAGTAGTATCACATGTTGCTAACATGTACAGTAGTATCATGCTGCTAACATGTACAGTAGTATCACATGTTGCTAACATGTACAGTAGTATCATATGCTGCTAACATGTACAGTAGTATCATATGCTGCTAACATGTACAGTAGTATCTCATGCTGCTAACATGTATTTACAGATGTATACATATAAGTGAATATTTCTTGCACTTGTCTTACTTAGCTTCACTTTTGTTTTATTAAGCTAAAGCTTTTAGTTCATTTTCAAAGTAAAGAGTGTGCTATACTTTATATTCACTTATCTTGTGTTGTGTGCTCCTCATTCGTACTGCTCTGTAACTTGTGATGCAACACTGAAATTTCACTGAGTAAGGGATCTCTTCATCTTTATGACACTTCTCGCTCACCTGTATCGATTAGGCTCATGAGCGGTCCGCCTTTCCTCCGTGTAGCGCTGTGTTCCTTCTGAATCAAGAGGACGACATGTGGCAGATCCTTTGACTGGCTCCTGCTCGCTCTCCTCAATCCCAACATTACTGATGAATACACACTGATTAATATTATTATTTCACTCATAATAACTTCACACAGGTCGACACGATCGCATGTTACCTCCTCTTGGGTCCGGACAGCAGATCGTCTAAATAGTTCTTTCGCTCTATGGCATGACCTCTAGTAGAATTGAACACTGTGCAGACAGATAGCATGTGTGAGTGGGATGAATTTAAAACTTGGTAAGTACTCGGTAAAGCACTGCAGCTCACATTCAATCGCCCGATGAGGATCCATGCCATCCACATCAATTAGGTATCTACAAACAAGATACCCAGTGCGATTCAGGCCATGGGTGCAGTGGACGCCGATCAACTTATCTGTTAGAGAAAATGATTATGAATATCACCAGATAGTACAAGAGTTTGTGTAGAGTTTGGTGTAGGGTCAGAGAGTGTTTGGGCCTGTGTCTGTGGTGTGTTGTGTGTGTGCGTTGTCTTGTTTGTCTTGTCTCTGTGGTCATGTCATGTATTAGTTCACTCCATGTACTGTATACGTTTACAGCTGTTTATGAATGATCCTGTATGTACACGGTTCTTGTACTGTACTTTGTATTGAATGTGTGAGGGGGTTGTAATTCTATAAGCGTTTGCTTCATCCACCTCCTTTTCAAACCATGCACTTGTCTGTTATGTGGATTTTTGCGATGATGATGTTTGTGCAGGTTTTGAAATAAATATTATCTATCTATCTAGTTTCTCTGGCTGCTTAATCTAATAATAATAATAACAATGCATCAGTTTTTTATAACGCTTTTTGGGACACTCAAAGAGGCTTCACATGTCATTATTATTTCACTCTGTACACGGTGCGGATAAACTACTGCTGCCCTGGGGCACACTGACCGAAGCAAGGCAACTAGTATGTCATCGGCCCCTCTGACCACCACCAATCATTCACACACACACACACACACACACACCAGACTCATTCTAGGCAATGTGGGTGCAGTGTCTTGCCTTAGGACATAATGACAGTTTGGCACTTTACAGCCGCAGCCGCCCCACTCTTGCACCTGATGTTCCACAGTACTAACCCGGCCCTGGCCTGCACAGCTTTCACATGCAAGTAATATGGCCATCTATCAGTATCTTTTATAATAATACAATAATACAAACCATTATCTGTATTGTCACGTATGAAACGGCAAACAGCGCGCTTAAAGCTCAGAATGGTTGCATCACTGGGGACCTCGTGTCCGGCGGTGAAGATTTTGACCCACTCCATGGATTCTGGGAGGTCCTGTAAATCACAGCTCAGGTCAGCCTCCTCTCAGCCTCATCTCAGGAGGTCTGGAGTAAAGAGTGTGGCAGCCACCTCTTGTCTGTAATAGCGTGTTGTAAACGTCAGGTCAATTATCAAACCAAGTTCTTCTTTCTCCTTGTTCAATGTGTCCAGCAGCTCCCAGGGTCCAAACACATCTGAGCCTGCCAGTCTGCGGGTTAACGCCTGAAAGATGAAACACGTTCATAACTACGTCATAAAGTACATTAAGTTAGTTTGGTTACAATCTCACCATTTTTAACGGCACTTTAAAAGCAATAAAACGAGATCCTGGAAGGCGTTTCCCCACAGCTCGATAATCTAACCATCTGAAATAGTTTATTCATAATTATTACAGACATGCATGTTAGTGGGCTTACGTAAAGTGCGTAAAGGACGTGGTTGAAAATACGTTAAAACATTTATTCTAAAAGCTGAATTAAAAAGTAATTGTAACATTTGAATAACTTGTAATAATAATCAGTTCCAGCCTCACCTGTCCGGAATACCATTCTTCTTGTTGTATGGTCGAGACATAACAGCCACGTGTATCAACAATGGCCAAGAATGCAATGATTGTAGCGAGCGTGTGGTTCGTTGTACAGGCTGGTTGTGTCTGCTCCTTTATATCAGACCCGACAACTCCATATGGGAATAGTATGAAAGGTTTCCCCGTTAAAGAAAGTGATTCATGGATTTCACCAAAACAGAAACTGAACAGCTGATCGTCGCACAGATGACGCAGACACAACTCTTCTTACTCAGAGAGAGAACATGGCAAATACAAGTGTAGCGCCCCCGTGTGGTGCTACACTTACCCTCACTCTCACCACGAGACCTGTTTGCTGTCGATGTGTCCTTGGGCAATACACTTAACCCCACTTTGCCTAAAGTCCCAGCTGAAAGATCTCAGCTGCTGTGGAGTCACCACCTGCAGGAGGATCAGTGAGGGGCTGGTGCAGCTCTGACTGTGTATGAAATGTGCTATACAAATAAACTTGCCTGATTTTACAACTGCCTTCAACCAAAATGTCACACAAAGGTATTCTGCAGTCTATTTACAAACAGACAAACAGTCTGTTTCTCTGACAATCATACACAGTCATACACAAACACACACATAAAAAGTAATTAGGTATGCAGTGGGTATGCATTTAGTTATTTAAAATGGACTGATATAAAACCTTCCACACACACTCATTATGTTTGACCTGTGGTTTGGCTGATGTAGTGAAGCTCTGCTTAGAGATAAATCTTGGCAACTAGTACCCAACTGCTTGTATCATACAAGTACAAAATTAAATTGTAAAACTAGATATCAATCATGAATACTAATCACTGACAGATGTTTGGCACTGTCTGCAGAGTTTCTATAGAAGGTGAGGGATGGTTTTACATTATAAAAAAACAGAAACAAATACAAATAAAGTATCCATAGTTCAATAAAAGGTATAAAGGAGTGGATCACCAAGGGCGGTTCTTTCCTAAGATTTGGGAAAATCCTCCTCCATACCTTTAAAAACACTATGCCACGTGCATCATGTAAATCTATAATAGTGTGCAAGAACATCATTTTTGTTGTTGAAGTTTTAATGAAATCAATGTAACAAAATGAAATGATTCCATCAGCAAATGTCCTGGACTTATCGACCACCATCTGTTCAGAGTATGGTTCAGAGGAGGGGTCTGCTTCAATACAACTGCAGTTATGGTTGTGCTGTTTTCTCTGATCAAACGTGTCCACAGTTGTAGACATGGTTCACTACATTTGGACATTTACAAATAACTTCCATAATTCTAGTTGTTCTTGCAAATGAAACACTTTTAACAAAGGCTTTCAAAATGGAGGATTTATTTGCGGTGTAATTTAGACCCTGAGAAGTCCTGTCATATTTATTAGTTTGTTTCCATCAAGTTATTATTCATTATAGAGCAGGTTAAAGGGAACATATTCACCTCTGACACAATATTCAAAAATACTTAGCACAAATAAAGCAATGTTATGATAAATAAATAATAGAAAGAACAATAAATGGAGGCACATGATAGAAAAGAGAGTGCTGAATAAGTTACTTTTTTATCTTTTATGACAAATAAATTACTAATCATAGGCGATAAAACATGTGACTTGGTACAAATTACTTTAAAACATTGTAAAAGATGAATCATAATCCACTGACAGTGTCTGTGTGGCAACGAAGTAACGTCTCAAATTGCTTTCTGTTTCGCATTGCTATCTGTATTTCAGGAGAACTCTTCAAACCGTTCTCCTGAAACAATCTCTCCAGGGACGAGGCAACCCTAAAGCACTGCAACTAAATTAAACATGCATGTGATTTCAGATACATAATCTATAACTTGTAATGTATTATAAACATGTTTCCAAGGTTACAGTACATCACTAAGATTGTAATACGGTGATGATGTGATTAGACTGCCCATTTGACTTTTTCTCCATGCTATTTGACCCCTTCTAACTGATGGATGGAATTCTCTTTCTGGTATATTCCGTGTCGATCAACGCACTTGTTGCTAGTCCTAAGGCTCCAGTGTCTTTGCCTGCCTCTGCAAAGGGATACACATCTCTGGTCATGCGCCACAGCAAGCAGGGCATTTCTTTCAATCCGGCGTAGTGACCTTTTGCCTGGAACGTGTAGGCGACCCGGTGGCACAGGCGCGTCATCAGGCGTGTGAGCTCCAGGTTTCTGTTGCCGTTTTCCTCCAGCATTGTGACAAGTGTTTGGAGAAAAACTGATCCTTGAGGGTGCGAAAAAGCAGCGTAACCTGAGGATGACAAGGGTGTTATTGTAGATACAGTAAGGGAACTATGGAGGAGAGGAAGAGTCAAGTGGGGCGAGGCTTTACCTGGTGGAGTGGCGTATACGACAGCGGTGTCTATGGGCACCGATGGATCAGGTGAAAACGTCTCCTGTGCAGCGTCCACTGAGTCGACCTCAACGCCCACATCCAGACCATCCCCACGACAAGCCTGAAAACAGGAGCACAAAGACATAAGGGAAAGACCTCTTCATTCAATCTAATCGTGGGTATGGATATGGAGAGAGAACAGAGAGAGAGGGGTGAGGACAAATCAACGCACACACAGAATATGTAGATACAAAGAGCAGCCCTTCCGCATGTTGGATTTTATTGGGGATTACAAGGATTATTAAATGTTATCTATTTTGGTTGGGTGTATTGATCAATGTGCTAGTTTCCATCCGTTGTCCCAGAGTCACACTCATTCACCCTGAGCTATTGTACATGTTTTTAAGTGGTAGAGGAAACCGGAGCACCCGGAGGAAACCCATCACTCATTAAAATAGTTTTTAAGAGGGCTTGTTTCAGCAAAAAAAATAATATCAATGTTACATTTTTGAAGTCCCCACAGACTCATTTTAGAAAACAATGGATAAACTGAATATTGACTAAGTTCCTTTTCATTTAAACTCCTGAAGTTTCTAAAAGTGTTTCATGTGTTGATTGGGCTGCACGTTCGCTTCTCAGCAAGAAGGTCCTGGGTTGGCTTTGGCCTTTCTGTTTTGGAGTTTGCAGGCTCCTCCCCTCTGGAGTCAGGACTCCCCTGAAAACCAATCATCATAATATTTTTTACACATATATGACTACAGATCACAACAGATCAGTGAGTGGATGCAAAACAACTTCCTTCAGCTAAACGTAGACAAAACCGAAATGATTGTCTTTGGTCCCCAGAAACAGAGAGAGCGTCATCTGTCATCTACAGTCTCTCTCCCTAAAACCTTCAAACAAGGTCAGAAATCTAGGGGTAATACTGGACTCAGACTTAAATTTTAATTGCCACATCAAATCAGTAACATCAGCAGCTTTTTATCCTCTAAAAAACATTGTCAGGATCAAAAACACAGTGTCTAAAGCAGACTTGGAGATTCTTATCCATGCATTTGTCTCCAGTAGGTTAGACTACTGCAATGGCCTGCTCACAGGTCTGTCCAAACAGGCTGTAAAACAGCTGCAGTACATTCAAAATGCAGCAGCTCGAAAGTACGACCACATTAGTCCAGTCCTCAGGTCTCTGCACTGGCTTCCTGTGGCTCAGAGAATAGACTTTAAAACAGCTCTGCTTGTGTACAAATCTCTCCATAGCCTCGCACCAAAATATATTAGTGACATGTTAGTCCCATATGAACCAGCCCGGACTCTGAGGAGCACAGGGACTGGACTCCTGTTAGTGCCCAGAGTCAGGACTAAACATGGGGAGGCTGCTTTTCAGATTCATGCTGCTAAAATCTGGAACAATCTTCCTGAAGATGTGAGACAGGCCTCCTCTCTGACAATGTTTAAAACCAGGTTAAAAACAGTCCTGTTTAGCTGTGCATACAACTGAGGGATTTTATATTTGTAACTTTCTTTTTAATGTACTGTGATTATTTATGATTTTAATGCTATTTTCTCTTGTTCAGCACTTTGAGTTGCCTTGTGTATGAAATTTTGCTACACAAATAAACTTGCCTTGCCTTATGGTGACTATGATAACTATCATTTAAGTACATTTTGAATTAGTTTTATTCATGGGATTCATAAAGCTCCAACAGTTGCTCGGATGTGATCTTGTTCCTGAATGATGATTTTTGTTGATAATATAATTACCTGTATGAAGAACAGCTTGGCTTTGTTTTCCATGCACTTGTTGTCAAAGTAGTTGAAGATGTGAGAAAGTCGAACTGGTTTCCCATCTGCCCCAAAGATACAGCCCTCACTCCCATGAGACGACAGGACAGCCAGGAAGCAGTCTTTCACTGGCTGCTGGCTCTCTACATAAAAAGGTATACATTAGATATGCAGTGTTTATGCACTCTGATATTGAAAATGAACTGATATAAAACCTGCCACACAAACACACTTCACCTTTGACCTGTGCTTTGGCTGATGTGGTGCAGTATTTGTTGTTCTCCTTGGAGTTTAATCTTGGCAAATATTACACAACAGAACTGCTTGTGTCTTACAAGTAGTAAACCATCTGACCGTGATAAGTCATTGTAAAACTAGATTCTGCTGATACTTCATTTCTGACAGATGTTGGCACTGTGAGTTTCTAGAGTGAGGCACAGTTTTACTGTATTATTAAAATTTAGTTAAGAACAATGCACCACATAAACTGTATCATGCAAATAAGAAATTGTGTGTGTATAAGTGTGCTGGAAATAATTCTGTTAGAATTGTTTGAATGAAATCTGTGAAACAAAATAGGGATTATATCTGCAAAAGTTTGTGCATCAGTCCTGGATTCATCTCCATTTTATTCATGTGAGAACTGCTTTAGATTTTCAAATCTGCTGTGGTTAAATCAACAATTTGGTGAAGTCCTTCAAGACAACTGCAGTTGTGGTTGTACTAACAGATGTATTGATTCCATGATTTGGAACATTCATTCAAACATCACAATCATGTCAGTGATAACATTAGTATTAAAGGGACTTAATAAAGTGATGTTTCCTTTGTTTACCTTCCATGAAGAGCTGGTGGATCTCCTCACAGCTCAGGTCTCTGTGGATGTCCACCTTGAAGCCCAGTTTGCTGAGTGTCTTGTGGAGCTTCTTCTCGTCTTTGCTCACTCCAGGCCTCCGCGACAGACTCACGCCATAGTCAAACTGTGCCACAGACACCAGCAGGGCCCGGTTCCTGTCTCCCCTGTGCAGCGGCATGCTTCTGTCTGCAGGTACAGTATGTACAGTCTGACTTCACGGCAGTAAACCCTTCATAAATGCACGTCTCTGACCATGTTTGGATTTCCTAGTGAAGTAATGTCTACTACTCGTGACAACCTGTCAGGTGTGGCTTACACGCAACTTCAGTAACAGGTTCTAGTTTTCCTCAAGGAAAATGGATTAGAATTTTGACATTTTCTTTTTATTATGCTCAACCAGAAACCAACTTCATTATGTTGTAATATGTTACTACTATATCAAGTGTAAATAAATGCTATGGAACCCTCATGTTGTTAACACATTAAAATGAATGAATGACTTTGTGAACTTCATCAGTAGCTTGTCTGCTGTGGAATTTTCAGTTTTCAATTAAAGACAGTGCTGGGTAAGTTATTATGAAGAAGTAATTAGCTACACATTACTAAAAACCTTTTGAAAATATTAGTTTACTTAGTCTCAAGAAAGTACATACTTACATTGGAGTTACATTTCCTTGGGATTACTTTTGCCGTAATAAATATGTACCTATACAATAAAATCCATAGCATTAAACCCCTTATGAGCTGAATCGGCTCATGTGACTAAATATAAATATTAGAAACATGTTTGAGGTGTTTTTGATGCAGCATCACTGTCTGTGGGGTGTTCTATATTCATGTTTAACATGTGTGAGATCATTCTGCTAGTAACTGATACATTTGAGTATTTTGATGTATACTATATAATTGTATTCATCTATTGCATGTATTTTCTGCAAAAACAGTGACATCCAAGCTGATAAGATGTCCTTGCCAAGAGGCCTCAACATAAACCAATTCATGACTTTACTGTGTATAGAGATTACTATAATTTAAAGCATTAGCACAATTTCTATCATTTTGTATACAAATCTTTCTGAATGCATTAGAGATTGTGCACTGACAGGAGGTTGGAGTCATCTGGATGAGTCAGGCATTTCCAGGGCATTTCCAGAGCTTGCGTCCTTTCGGGTTTTTGTTGAACTGTTTGAACATGGTTAATTTTTGAACTCTTGAGACTTCATGAATATTTCTGAAAGGACCGAAGGTTCACCGTCTATTTTCATCTTGACCAACACCCATGTCTCATTAAAGGGCAGACCTTTCGCCTTTCTACTCCTCACAGCCACTTTACACTTTTGCAAGACGAGGTATTCTTTTAAAAGGGCCTTGCCTTTTGTAAGCGGGTGGAAATCAACCATGTTTCATGCTAATTTTTTTGTGATCAGTATTTTGGTTGTAACGGTGCCAAATATTTATACGACAGGTTTGTTTCAGGATCAGTTTGAAAAAGCCCATTACATACAACAAAGCGATCCGTATCTGTCCAGATACATCTTTTCTAATGATTTGATTCTTGATGAGTTGCGTGAAAAGTCCGGCCCTTCTGCACGTAGACCCACATGTTCAGATGAAAAGAATTTAAAATATTTGAAAATTGTAAATAATGACAACATTATGTGGTTCTAGATGTTAATCTCTCGTGTCATCTGATACTTTAGTTACAAGTTGTTCCAATACATTTTTCGTTTGCAAGACATGCAAACGATTTCACTCTCAATAATACGATCTTTTATACGTCCTTATTTGTTATTTACGCCCTACAATACTTTACATGACTCAATCATATCTATAATAATACAAAAGGTCAATGACTTATTCAAACCAAAATCATTTGTTGAACAAGCTCTGAGACAATTGGTAATATGTCAGGGGTCTTCATTCTTTCAAATAATTTGTATTAAGGAAAACAAACTTGAAACATGACAATTTTTACAAAGACATATTTGAGTGAATATTAGGAGACGTTTCTATAAAACAAGAACAAACAATAGTGAAAAGAACAACTGTGCCACCAAACAATTTATCAGAAACAAAATGATTGAGAAATCAAGAAAATGAACAATACAAAGTTTTATAGAGAAAGGTTAAAAGTCAAATATTGACCATTATTTGTTATTTTTATACTAATATAAAATGTGAGCGTCTATAAAAAACATTTGAAAAGAGCACATGTACAGCATTAAAGCCGGGGTACCTAATTTCCAAACCACAAAGAAATGATCTATGTAATAAAATCCATCTAACTAGCTCCATGCTCTCAAAACAGTTTGCTTCTATCACTAGTATTTACATTCATGAATTTCTGACCACATTTTTAGATCAGTTTTTACAGAAAAGTGGCTGTGTAAGACTCAGCTTTACTCAGCTCCACGCCCATAAAGTCAAACAGTGACTCACAGGGCTCTTTCTGATGCAAATTAACACGTTTCCCGATAGAATGAAGGCAGCATACTGTGGTCTGATTTGTTCACAGAATTAAAATCAATCTGTAAAATAAGTTAGGTACCCCAGCTTTAAGGAGAAGTACAAAGAATAGGGTTCATCTTTATGCGGGCGAAACGTCTTTTCAGAGTTTGTTGAAGGCCTCACAGTGGATTGGCTCGCCTCAGAGACAGCGGCTGAGTCTGCGTTAAGGCGGATTTGGGTGGGATTAGGAAGGGCTGTGAGAGGAGGGTGGGGGTGGTGCTCCGGGAGTTGGCTCTGTGGGGGGGAGAGGGCACCTGGAACGGGGACAGAGAGGGGTCGGAGGAGGACGACGGCGTGGAGGGTCCCGGGGTCCCGCTGGTGCTTGGCCGTGTGCTGCTTAGAGGGCGCGGGGGTTTGGTGGTGAGCGACAGCGGCTGCAGCTGCTCGGCGTAAGGAGAGGCGCCGTACGGGCTGTAGGAGTGCACGTGCTCCGTGTGGGTGGATGCGGGGGCGGCGGGGGAGGCCAGGGCCGTGGTGGGAGTGGCCGGAGAGTCCAGAGAAGAGGCGGGACTGGCCTGGGACAGGTGAGTGTGCGTCAGGTGAGAGATGGAGTGGGGGTGCGTGCGGCTGTGTGTGTGTGAGGGGGGCTGGTGCGGCTGGGCCATGGGGCTCAGGGTCTCCTCTGAGTCGGAGGGTCCGCACGGCCTCTTGGGCTGAAGAGAGAAGTCCTCCGCAGAACCAGCGACTACAAGAGGAGCACAGGTCACACTCAAATACATCCATCACAGTCAGTTCATGTCTAAATACAGTGTATATGGAAATACCTTCATATTGAGTTTCGCTCTTTGCCCTCTTTCGTTTTTTTCTTTTACCCTATGAAAAAAAAATGATACAAAAAATGAATGTTTATATTTTAGGTACATTTTGTAGTATAGCCAGTCCCCAAGTCTGAAATGTCATGCAAAGTTTTTCAGGGCCTTCACAAATTACACTTCATTTGGAAGAATACATTGTAAATTGGTTAAAAAAAATCTCAAGTACTTATAGTACCCAATATTAGCTTTATTCAACCTTCTTTCATCTGGCCATACTCCCATGGGATCTAACAGCTAATCTAAAAAGATTATTTACTCTAAACAATGAACTCAAAAAGTAAATGGTAATAATTTATAAATCAAAAATGTGATCCATAAATCATTGTGAAAAATATAGACAATTTCAAACGTTTAGTCCAAGCATCACTGAATTCGATTTTTCAGAGTACCTGAACGAAAAGTCAACTAAAACCAAAACTTCCACAAATATAATTTCTCTCAATATCCATAAAATGAATTATGTAATAACCTCTAAAATTGCCAACTAATGCACTAGCACAAACAGCCTTTTCAATTAAGATATTTCATCTTCAAAATATGGCCCCATGGGAGCCCTGTGACTCCCATGGGGCCAAGGATCACACTTTGTAGAAATGAAACAACACTATTCTGTTCATTGACACTACTCACAAAATGGGATGTCCGGCTTTCGGGAGGAATTTCAGCAGAAGCCGAGAACTACAACTTACACAGGTGAAATTAACGTGGCCATCAACCCTAACCCTAGCTCACGTACAAGGAGGTTAATGGAATAATTCAGGAGTTTGAGCAGTACTCCTCATCATGCTGATCACGTATGGACATCATGAGACGTGCCTTAAGTGGCTCCAACAGAGACAGAGAAACGGAAATAGCCACAGAGAAGCCTAGTAGTGACTAGTAACCCTAACCCACAAGGCACATGTGAGGGAGGCTGCCTGACCACACCAACAGCTACAGCATCATCAGGATGGTAGAGGAGCATTTACACTGGGCAGATACTGCTGTTCTCTGATGAAAGTGATTATGCTGAGCAGAATGAATGTCCACTGTGTCACCAGATGAGCCTTTGGTAGAGGTGTGACAGTAAACACTTGAATGAGGTGAATGGTACAGTGACGAGTCTATACCCCCTGAATAACATCATCCAGTCAGGCCCCTGCGTCACCGTTAAATACCGCTTTTCTTTTGGATTCACATGCAATTATCATTTGTCAAGCTGATTCTCAATCCACATGGGACTTTTGTTGTGGTATATTCACCACTATTGTTGACTTTTGTTTCCAAGAATGTTTGAGAAGGGGAAATCACATCTACTTTCATGATATTATATCCTTGTTGCAGCAGTTTCCATTTTCCATAACATTCACCCGAAAGCCAAATATCCTTCACTTTTTTGTGAGAATTCATACAAAACTAAAATGAAAGTCATAGTGGTAAGAAACCACTCCAGAGGATGAAGTCTATATTACTTTTGTACTTCTGTGCCAAAAAGTGCCTGAGGACACATAACGTTGTCCGATGTTGAACAATCCAATGCATTGTATATTGTCCCTGCACACAAGTAATGGCATAGTTTAAAAAATAACTCACATAGTTGTCTCTGGCTGACCATCCTGGATACAATTTTGAGTGAATCAGTCTTTCTTTTCGAGCCATTTCATAGTATTTAGATTGTTCTTCTTTGGACAAAGAGTGCCACTGAAAAGACAAAGATAAAGTGTTAGGATGCGTGAAACATTGGGATGCAACCATTCAGAAATCTCATGATTAACAATGCACACCTTACTTTACTTGTAAAAATTAATTAAATTATTGTATTGTATTCATTATAGCGTTGAAACAATTATTTAAAAACTCTATGTAGACTCCCAACACATGCATGTGGATTAATCAAAAATATGTGTGCATTGACGCTGCTTCTGCCTTTTTCTTTATTAAGCCGTTCTGAGCACAAGGGACATGGGAGAAACGTTTATGCAAAGAAATGTTTCCAACATGTGTGCGTTCTCGGTCAAGAGCACATATGCACAATCTTAGACGAGTTACAACCGCAAGTTCGAACCATTCAGGATTGTTTTTCTATCACATGGTTAAACACTCAGTAACAGGCATAAAAACCTAATCACACACTGAATAATAATTAAAAAACACACACCCTCTGTCCAAGTATCTGGTTGATGGTGGCGCTCTCCTTGACCTGGCACTGGGCCACCACTTTGGGCCTTTCATCTCTCATGTACAACATGAAAGCATTAAGTGGCTTTTTAATATGAGGCTTCTTCTCATCTTCTCTTTCTGGCTGAGTCTCAATAGCAGATTTCCTGTGAAAAAAGAAGTTTTAATAAAAATATCAAAATATGGGGCAACACAATGCAGAGAGCAAAAAACAAAAAGAGGATGCGAATAAATGTGCTCTGCATATAGTATCCTGTTACGATAAGAACAACCACACACCCTGGATGGCTGCATATGCCTGGTTCCTGTTTCACTGTTGGGACAATGGCTGGGTGCGGGATAGATGACTGCGTTGTGGGCACCAAACGTGGAGAAAAACTGCCAGACACCAGACTGTACAAAGATAAGTTATATAACCTTGATTTTAAGGACGAGTCAATTAAAACGTGAAAAACTTACCCTGACATAGATGCATTCATAGCGAGGGCAGCAGGTGAGAAACTACCAGCTCCAAGAGGATACATGGGCTGTCCGGGCCTACAACGACATTCAAGTTTGAGTCATTCTGTCAGCCGTCCCCAGGGCAGCTGTAGCTACAATAGTAGTTTATCACCACAGTGTACGGAGTGAACATATAATGCTGTGAAGCATCTTTGTGTATCCAAAAAAACCACTATATGAAACAATGCGATATTATTATGATATTATGAGATTATTATTGTAAGTGAATCACTAAAAAGTCAAAGTGCATTGTTCATTCACTACACACAGTGGTAAGTCACAAGTATAGCCACAGATGTCCCGGTGCAGACAGAGTCCTGTCTGCAACCATATACATTTGTTTCATAGACGGAAAAATACATGTTTGTACTTACAGCCATCCAAAAGAGTGTGGGATCTGAGCCATTCCACCAGGTGACACTGGGTAACATGCCGCTCGTGAAAGTCCTGCAGTAGTAGAAGTAGGAGGTAAGAACTGCAGTGATTGAGGATGCTATTGCATTTGCTGCACATTGTGGCACCTGCATCAGGAGAGAAGCCGGGGGAGGCCCTTTGAGGGGAGAAGGCCTCTGGACTATAGGACAGCAGCGGGTGCAGATGTGGCATGTGAGGGTGCTGCACCACCGGCATGTTATTTGACTGCACGGGAACAACACAAACATACTTTAGTCTGCTATTCTTACTTTCCTCCAGCAGAGGGCAGCTTAACACAGTTTGATACAAGCACCATGTGACAGAAGAATGTGAACAGAAAAAGACTACAGCAGTCTCAAATGAAGTCTCTGTAAAGAGGTCCTTACCAGGTGAGAGGGAGTTGCAGAGTCTCTGATTGTGGCTCTTCCAGGAACATCAAGCAAAGGCCACTGGAATGGTAGATACTGTGGAGATAATGAGGACTGTCAATCCTTTATCTGCCTTGTCAAAAAATAATCTGTTTTATCAATGATCCAGCTGCAACTCTGAACATTGTTACCATAACTGCTTCAGTCAGCGGTCTTTAGGCTCCACTTCATACAGCACTTTGTTTGGCTAATCATCAGATTAAAGAAACCCATAGTGTGTAGTTTGAATACTTTCAAACAAAGAGCGCAGCAGCGAGAGACATTGCAATTCTCATAGATTTGTTGTGAAATGGTTCTGTGCAGATTCAGAAAGAACACATTTGACTTTCTCGGTTTCTGTTAAAGACATTTTTAACACAATTTTTCATTTTTTAAAGCATCATTATTAGTAGTAAATGGCAGCTCAAGATTTGATCAAGTCAAATTGACGATATCTTAAATGTTTCAGTGCCTTTCAATTGTAGGTAAATGATGTCCTAGTATCCGATATATGTACCAGTATCAGTACATGATACTGCACTCAGCGAGTACTGTCAAAATACTTGTCAAAAGCCTTCAGATAGACACTTCTACTGTACAATAAAATACAGGATGTTATTCCTAATTATACAACACCTTGGACAAGAAAGTTCATTTCTAAATGTGTTTGATAATATTCATTTAGTCGACTTGAGCAGAATGAGCATGAGCAAGTATCATTATAGTCACCACTTACGGGAACATGATGCTTTCAGGGGAGATTCAATGCCACCAGCGGGTGAGGAATATGATACAATTCCAAAACGTATCACTCATTCAAAATAGATTTTTTCCAAGATGTATTTTTAACAACAGCTATATTGTTGTTAATGCTAGAGGTTGACAGTCATTAATCAGGGTGATAACAATTATTAGTAGTCAAGGCGGTAGATAACTGATATACAGCACAGCGCTCAGAGAACCATCTCACAATGTTGATGCTTGGCTTGGATTTTATGTTTATAGTGGTAGGCAAAACCGGAAGCCCCCCGAGGTAACCGGAGAACCCAACAGAATTGTACGCGAACACAGGGAGAACATGCAAACTCCACGCAGAAAGGCCTTGTTCTGACATGAATTCGAACCCAGGACCTGACACATTTATAAGTCACACTGCAGTAATTACAGCGTTGTATGAGTCATGATCCTTTTCACAGCACGTTTATGTCAGTGTATAATTCAACAAGGATGAAGGATTGAGCTCAGGAAATAAAAATTGTACATCTGTAATATTCTGAGGGCACCATGAAATACATTCAACACACAGTGGCACAAGTCATGCCCTGTCATCAGCCCAGATCACAGCAGCAGTTGAGATTACTATACTTAATCGATAGCTAGCAATCATTATTGTTGAGTAATCTCACTTTTGTATTCAGTATAAATTGTCCTTAAATACACATCATGTATGCGTCAGCTTCAGTGCAGTGGGGCGCCATAGGGAAACAGGTCTGTAGAGATTAAATTGTTATCGAGGCTTTTTTGTCATGGGATAATTCCATTAACTAAGTCCTACACTCAACTTTACATACTTGGTCACAATTGCTTAGAAAAAAAACACAGGTTATTGTGTTTCATACACATGCGTGTGCTGTGTTTAAGTTTAAAACAACGGCAATAAAATCAGAGCAACATTAATAATTCGATTTGGCATGTTTGCTTGCTCAGCCTGTGTATACATTATAGGTCTCGAGTCAGACAAAGGACAGAGTTCCACCAGAAGCCTGTGCCCCGCCTCCACATGCACACGGCACCCGCACACACATACACATACACATATACACACGCACGTCTGCCTGAAAACCCCAGCGTCTTACTGTTGACCGAGCTGTCTGGAGTAGGGAACCCCCACCTCAGCACAAAAGTTCTTTAAAAAAAAAGCCTTTGGTGATCGTTCAACTGTGAGTGACGTCAAAAGACTTCAGCCTTTGACCTGGACAAGAGGAGAAACGGACAGCTCTGTGCTTCTTTAGTATGTTCTTCGAAGTGTGCAGTACAATATGTTATTCTTTGGTATTCTAAGCAAATTATAAAAAGGCACCGGTCGACCATACCATTATCATGACAAATTGTTAGTCATGTCGGCAGCAGACGGACCGGGGGAGGGTCTCAAACCAAGAAGTTTGCGTTTGCTGTGGTTGCTAAATGGTAACCGCTCAAAAAATACTAAAGGATAAGACAACATTGCACAAAATCACCAACTAGGAACTGTTTTTATGGTGTTTGGAGCTATTCCATTGTGTTGTATGTTGTGAGAATCATGATAGTGTTAAAGCAAAATAGTTGATATTTAAAGCACATTCACTGTGGGCAGACTACTTTTGTTTCAAAAGAAAGAAAAAACCCACTAACTATGTATAAAGAAAATGGTAACCAAGTCATTCTGCATCCATGCGATTATTGTATTATTGTATTGACATTTAAAAGCAGAAACTCATGCTAGACATCCGACTTGGCCACTCCTGCAGGAGACACACCACACAAAGAAGTGCACATCGCTGCTACTCCGTGCAGCCCCCACCTCCACAGGCCTAAGGAAGCTCTGGCTGAGTGCTAAATGAATCCAGCTGTTGAAAATACCAGACGAATCAATGTACACAGTCACACACACACACACACACACGCACACACCAGCACAATCACCGTCTATTACTGAGGGAAGCATAAAATCAGTGTGTGACTGGAGGGAAAGTTATTAGGCCCACTGCTGCTTACAAAACACTCCGCTGAGCACATAGTCAGCTGCAAGACAAAGAACGGCAACCACATAAGTCTCTTTAGCCTCACAATTCACTACGGAACAAAAACTTCAGTCATACGTCACAACACACTTTCAAATTGCCGTTTTTTAATGAGACAAAATTTGCGTCAATTGTTGAACTATCTGAAAAAACTTACCGTGTTTTTATCCCTATTGTCTTTAATTTGGGTCTATTGAAAAACATCATTACTTTGCAAAAAATATATATTGTGAGATTTCATAACACTTTTAAGCAACTTTTGTTAAAGTTAAACTCATCAATCTATCAATGTGCAGGAGCCAGTACTTTTCCCTTGTTTTGTCTATCTGAAGGCCAAGCTACAAGCACACCGTGGAAGCTGCTGATTGGAGGTCTCCATGTCTCCGCTCTGTATAATACACTTGCATTCTCTTGTATCTGTGATCGTGTGCTTTGTTCGTGCTGTCTCTACCATCGACAATGAAAGATGAAATGAAAGACGCGATCCCAGACTATGTCATCTTCTTCAATATCTAGGATCCAAGATGGCACCGTATTCAAATGAATGGTTTGTGCTCAGTGGCGCATGTGCCGGCACAGTCGCTGACATATTAGCGGAACTCGCCTATATTTGGGCATTGTCTGGTCCTCCCGGTTCTGCACAGTGGATGAGCTCCCATGATGCGTTGCGCCAAATATACGCGTGTGTGGCTCTCATGCACGTGCACAGAGGGGCTCGGCCGCGCTCTGACCAATCAGAGCTGCTCATCAGAGCACAGGTAGAGCGGGAGGATTTAAGAAAAAAAAAGGTTCAGGATAACAAAGGACACTAAAATCCCCACAAAATCCGACTGTCAGCTGAGGTCGAGCTGTTTTAATAATACATTGAGTTCTATGGGGAAAACTTCTGGGTAGCCCACGTGAATTTAGTCTTGTTTAGCCTGCAGTACCACGCGAATCCCCCGAGCACATGGGTCCTTCGGCTCCGAACTAGTAATACCGCATCCCAACTTCCCCGAACATGGAACGCACTTCTCCAGCGACCACCGGTCTGGCGAAGTGCAGTCAGTCCAGGAAACTGGGTTGACTGCGCATAGGAAGAACAGCTGATAAAGTACATGTGTGATGTCACGAGATTCTTCTGAGGAAGACAAAAGTTTGGCATCTTACGGTAATAACATTGTTATCTTAAAATTGTTTTCTACAATCTACTAAAGATAAACTACTATATTGATCTCACAGTGGAGAAAGATAAAACAAAAACTTCCTAAACTAGGCTGAGAAGAGGTTTTATGACTCAGATTATTAATGACTGCAGAAATAAATGAAAATCACTTGAGCTTAGTTATAGTCAAATATATAAAAACAAATCCATACTTACTGAGCTTTAGGGATCTAAACAATAAATCGGCCAACTAAGTGATTAACAAAATAATCTTTTATTACAAGCCCATAATTATGTTTACATCAGCAAATTTAGGCCCCGTTTAGACCATAGACTGTAAATATTAACGGACGTGGTCACGTCTATTTCCGCCGTTGAAATAGGCATTTTCAAAATGGCCACGAGGCAGGAAAATGTTACGAAACTCATTTGCGCAGGCGTTAGCCGACACCAGCCCCATTCAATATAACAAGTGCCTTCTGAAGTCCACAGCGGCTAGGTCCAAAAAAATATACTCCCCCTCAGCATTGACACGCATCTGGAACGTAGCTTTAGGCAGAGAGCCAACTTTTGGACCATTTTAGCCGTTTTAGAAAGGAAAGAAGACGCCATACAAAAGCTTGTTATATAAAGCCCGTGGAATGTCTGTGAGCAAAGACACGCTGCAAAGCTGCATATTGGAGAAGATCTGTACACAAGAAGCCGCTAGCGACAGCTCTGTTAGCATTAGAGCCGGCCGGCTACTTCCGGTACTTCCGGCTTGCGTCAGGACGTTCTGGTGTGAAGTCCTCCGCGTCTGAAAACTAGAGAATGCGCGTCTGGTGAGTGGGGCTTCAGCGTTTCAGCGTTGGCGGTCTGAAAGCCCCATAAGAGTTGGGTATCGAGTTGGGGAGCCGATTCACAGCTGTATGAATTCTCTGCTTGGTACGATCTCACCACTGCCCCTCACGTACATTTGGACATACGCAGTAGCCGAGAACGAACGTAAACAACAATGGCAGCGTACACTAATGCTACATGTGATTCAAGCGCTACACGGGGAATTCTACTTCTTTGTCGGTCCAAACAAGACCACGCCAAGCTCTAGTTTCAGTTTCCATATTGGTGCATTCTTCCACGTCTTTCAGATTCAGATTCATTTATTTGCCATTTGCAGTAAATACTTTGAAGTGGCCTGAGGAGGATGTTGTTGAGGAAGTGGTTAACTGCTGGGGTCACGCATGTCGTGTTGTAAAGTTCCACTGCCCACTACTGGCCGGGCGCTAAAACTACATTCTTGTCCGGAGCCATCTAAATGCTCTGCAGGAGCCTGGTTGTTTTTTCAAATTTCTTTGCAGCGTGTCCGCAGCATCTCCGTCTAAACGGGGCCTTATTCTCATTGCTATTCCGTCTTCTGCCAGTGCAGTAGTGCCAACACAAACCCTGATAAAGATAAGAACCTTTATTCATCCCACAGTGGGGATGTTGCAGCAGGACATGGAGGAAAAACACATAAGGTCCCACAAAAAAGTTATATAGATAAGTAGCTGTAAATGCTGTATATAATAATATATAAATAAATTGGCGGATCATGGTCAGTAGATTGAAAGTGACATGTGCACATTCTGACATTGTCGTTCCAGCTGGTCACTGATTATATAATTATCAGATTTGATCCAATTTTGACATAAACATACGTGAAAGCAGTTTGAAGAATTCTAATTACATTTTCAGACAATACTGTTATCATTAAAAGACATTTACAAAATTCAGTTTTTACTTTTTTTTTTTTAAACCCATCTTAACACATCTCATTAACATGTGTTAAAGTTTAGAGCAGTAAACTATTATTATTAGCTAAATCTGATTTAAGAAATAGATTAAATGATTAAATGCTATAAAATCAATAAGTACAGGCCTTTGTGAGAAAATTCTCAAGCGGTAATAATGGAAATAACCAAAAATATTTTCAAAAGAAAGATATTTATATGGTATTAAAATGTATTCAATTTATATCATATATGGTATTTAAGTATACACTTAAACATTTATGGATTTGTTTCAGAACTTTTTAGAGAGTTAGTTTCTAAATTATGGTGTAAAAAATTAGAAAATCTTTGTGTTTTATTAAGGAAAATATGTACCAAAATCTGAACGAGTTTCTACGGTCACAATCTCAAAAGACTTTGGCACAAATCCATCCCGGGCTTTGTCCGAGATCCTGCCTCCAGACAAACATATGGGATTAAGTTCAAACAGTATGCATTGTGTATGTTGAGGCATGTTGTTTTAGATGGGTCATCCTCTGGGTATTTTCAGACTGTCCAGACAATGTCAAACAATCTTTTTAAATCAGATGTTTTGATTTCTTGAGTAAATAAAAACTACATTATCAGCAACACCAGATGGCTTATCCCTTAGCAACTCAACTATTCACCGCTAGTCCTGAGTGAGGTACTAGTAGTATTTTTTTCAAATGTATGTACAAGAGACAAAAAACAGGATGCAAAGCATAAATAATATATAAACTGCAAAACATGGTTCTAAAAAAAGAGGACAAAGCAGATGCTTTTTTTGAGTTCCTGTCTGTCTCACTCATACAATGCTCTCACTCATACAACTGTGCTTAATAAAGCACTTACCAACAGCAGTGTTACTTTTAAAGCCATGTCATACATTTTATATACAATAAATCACAGCTAGAGGATGAGAAAAACTATCAGTCAGGACCCATAATATTCTGGGTCTCCCTCAATAGGGAAATACCAACAATACAATCGACTTCACATGAACTGCTTTTGGGAAGTTGAGAGAGAGCACGGAGAGAAACATGGAGAGTCAAATAGATTGATAAGGTTGATAAGACATGCTCCTACAGTACAGTTAACGGCCTGCTGTTTGGCTCAGGTAGCAGCAACTCACGATGACTTGTTTACCTTGACTCTCCGTCAGACTGGCAGACGCATCTCCTCCTCTCTCCCTCTTATAAACACACCTAACACACACACGGGGAGAGCTGAAAAGTACACAAAGTCTCCATTGTGCAAAGAGAAACGCGAGGGAGGGCCAGCACAGGAGAGGAAGAGGAGGAATTGCGGTGTTGTCTCAAGGCAACATGCAGTCTGGGCTCACGCTGGTCACAGACAAACAGAGCAGGCAGTCAGATGCCAGTGGCAGCATGTTAAGCATAATGAGATGTAACGATCCCCTGCTGGAGCCATGCATTAGGACCATTCAGCTCCTAATGACAACAATAAGCCGCTAACACAAGGGGAGGGCCATACAAAGCTGAGGAATGCAGGTGTTTGTGTGAGTGGCCCGGGCTCTGTGTGTTTTGACCACATGTGTGTCTGGGCTAAATCCACAGAGGAAAGAACTCTCAAAACATAACAGAATCACAAATGATTGTCAATGAACAACAATCACCTCTGTCTAAACAGCCACATGTCACTCATAATACTGTTGTGACACATTCATTAAGTCATTGGGACAGATAAGAAAAAGTAATACTAATTTCAAGACACAATAATTCTTACATTATATGCATACAGTTATTTAATCTAGGCCTTGCCAACACATCCATATAACACCAACTTTTAAAATACTTAGCTGCATCAGAAAGCCACTTTAGATTAGTGTCCATGACAGTTACAGGATTATACCAGAAACTAACATCCAGTTATAATCTGAGCTGTCATAAACTCAAGGGAATGGGAAATTGGGAAAACTCGGTCAAGCCTGCTGGGCGACTTGCAGCTACACCAGCTAATCTGCAGCTCCTGAAGAGTGATGAGAGTTTTTTCCTGCTGCAGGCAGGCATCTCTACTAGGAGACTATGTCCAGACCTGTCTAACCCTGTACCATCACAATCCACTTTATCATAACAGGCTGCTGCCTGGGCTGACTGCCATCTCACTTGCTCATATACACACCCACAGAGACACATGCATTTGCACACAAGATAAGTTTCGTGAAGACAATGAAGATACAATGGTAACCAGGTCCGACTTGAAAAAAATAAAAAATACACCAGTAAAGCAAAGCAGTGTAATGTTGTATGGTGTAGCTGAAGTTTACTTTCTGAACGATTTAATCTGCATGGTGTAGCACCTCATAAAGTCAACACCGCAAATAAGTGAACATTTTAAAAAGGCAGTCTGGCATTTGCTCCTATTGAGTGGGGAATCCACTTACTGGCCGCGCACTTGGGGTGAGGGCTCCATAGGGGCTGCATAGGTTCCCCAGGTCTGGTATCATAAAAAATGGATAGCCGGCATACGGGGAAGGCTGAAACAGACTCCCATCCTGTCTCCGAAGTGCTGTGAAAGAGTTGAGTAACGTTATTTAAACACACAATTTTGTGAACAAAAGGGTACAAATAACTCGGAGGGCAAAACGATTACAGTGTTTCCACAAGTGTGCCCAGTGTTTATTACCTTCTTGAAATAGTCGACTTTGTCTGGCCCTGCTCTCCAAATCCTGACTAGACTTCGGGCGTCTGTCTGCCTGCTGAAAAACCACATGTACAGAAATGTAAACAAACCCCGAGGGTCAAGATTGTACGGAGAGAATATTTAATCCAGGGCTTGGAAGAGGAGGGAGTTTTTGAGTTCACTTTGTAAGACTTACCTCAGAGTCCGAGCTGCTGTTTGTTTCCGATTCATTCACCAAAGACGACTTGACATCGTCCAAGTCCCGTTCCGAGGACACATTCCTCTTTTCCTCTTGTTCCCCCTCGTCTTTAAAAGCAATCAGTTCGTCATTTGCTCCTAAATCATCCCCGTCTGCACCGCCGTTCATCTGAGGCATGTTTGGACGCTAGCTGCTCGAGCTAATCTTACTTTCACGAGTTCTACCAAACACTTTCTGAAAACAACCAAGAAGAAAACCACTTGGGTGAAAGATATGTCAGTAGTGTGTTGTGTGTTTTACAACATTGTGGCAAATGTTACAGTTAATGCACCAACTTTACTGATATTGTGTGTGTTTGAAACTAGCTAACAGGCTAGCAAGAAGCTACCTGCGCATCCACTGGATTCCTGATGTGCGGAGACGCTAAATCCTTCATTAAATTAGACTTATCTAAGACATAAGTAAGTCTGACACACATACGTGGATGCAGAAATATAGCAAGGATTTAATTACCAAATAATCCAGAAATTAATCCGTTTTTTTTTAAAACCAAAAAATGGAGCCGTGGTGTGCTTCTGCGCTCGGGAAAAAGTTTTCTTGTGCACAGTTAGTCCAGTCCGCTGGGAACAGCACAGGCCCTGTCCGCCTTCTTGTTTGATTCTTGCATTGTCCTTAATGGTGAAGCGAAAAGTCCGCTTACGGTGTTTAAAGTGTCCGTTTCCGCGTGTACATTGCGTGTTGGTGGATTTTATGATTGCTTGTCCGCAATCTGGAGGCGTGGGAAAGCAATATGCAGGAGGTTGTTTCTGAAGTGGAGTGGAAGGAAAAACAGGCGATGGTGTCGCTCTGCGCGGGGCGGGGGCCTGTGCTGCTGAGGGAGAGTCTTTACTGATCCAGGAACAGTTCAACAGCACTCTTTCACAAGGCCAGCACCAGCTACACTCTGATCTTTAAACAGGCACAACAGGTTTCCTTTCTGTGCAGAGGAGACACAAAGACCAGCGAGGGAGGCGCTGCACAAGAAAAATACGATTTTGCCACTTACCCTTGTGACAATGATCTGTAAAGAAAAAAACTCCAAAAGCATTGATTTGTACTAGAAGTACCATTGATTTTACTTTTTCTCATCAATTGACGTGATTACTTTTCATACAGCAGCTTAACTATAACTTTTCAGCACACATCAGATCATTCTCACATGACTCTGCTCTTGGAGCTGAGGAACACAATGAAGGCCAGTCACCGGTCAAAGTTGTGACCAGCCAGAGCTATTGCAGGAAGCACGTGTTATGTCTGTCAATTCATGAATTCTATTGTATTGTATAGACATATACAAAAATCATACACATCAATTATCTTTAAGCTGATTGAACCCTTTGGAAAGTGACCTTTTAATATTTACTCGGAACAACTAAAATCAAGAGTTAAAGTTTAGCAATATTTGTTTAGTGTCTTCATGACCTGACCTCTTAATGCTGTGTATAAAGAATGCATTAACTATTTAGGCGCCAAAGTAATAGAAACGCTACATGTGCACTTGTCTTGAATCCAGGGCATCTCCTTGTTGATTTTTTACATTTATTTATTACATTCCTATTATCAATTTTTAAAGTTTTTGTCTTTTTTAAAAATCTGTTATAAAGTGTAAACTGAAAACAAACAAAAAACTTTGGGTTAATTTCAGGCAACAAATAAGAAAATTATTAAAGCATCATCTGATTTGTATAAAGACCACAGTTTGTACTATATCACCCAATTAACTAAAATGTAACAACATCTGGATTCAGGGTACTTCTCTGGTTTCATTTATAATACTGACAGGGGAGGGAAAGGGGCTAAAGTACTTACAGGGCATGTGTTCAGTCAATCTTCCTCATGTGAATGGTACTGTATGTTTAGTAATGTTGAGACATAAGCTAAATTTGCCTTAGTGAGCACTTATAGTCTTGTTACTCAGAGAGAGCCACTTGGCCAGAGTGGAAAACTGCTATATGTTGGGATATGAGTGGTAAGCTGCCCTGCTCCTGACATACACAGCAGCTGGGCATATCAATGGATTACAGTGAGCTCCAGTCTTTGGCTTGGGGCCAAGTGAAGATCACTTTGCCTGGAGCAGTGTTGAAACTGGGAAACGTGAAGAAGCACAGGGGTGTCACCATAGTACTGTATAACTGAAACTCTTTAGTCTGGGGTCCACACTGCGCGCACACACACCACAAAAGCTCCCTTGTGTGTCTGTAATACCACATTTGTTCATGGGAGAGTGCGGAGATGTGAGCATGTTAGTTTAAATCAAATCCTCCCTTTGTTTTGTGAAAAGCCAACAGGAGGGTGTGAATGTGCCTGTGATTTTACTGTGTAGAGAGACCACTCAATTCACTCAAACATTGTGATAGAGTCATCGATTGATGCAATAAGTGTACCTACTTTACACAACTTGAATGTGTGTGTAAATTTAACATTTCCAGAGAATCAAAAAAAGTTATGCATATGCAGGTAAGCAAATAATAAGACTGTGAGTTGATAATGAAAGGACAATGAGCAATGCAAAGGTCCTTGTGACTGAAGGAGAAAGCACATTGAGTCGCACCGAGGGGGGTTGTGAGGTAATGGATCCTAATTACCACCAGGCCTCTCTTCACAGCAGGACACAATTGATTTGCAAGTGGTATTATTATGTATGTTTTATACACCACTGTATATCACTTGTGTTGGTGATAAAGTCTTTGTTCTGTTCTTTCTCACCCATCCACTCATGCAGTGAAGAAATGGGGAGCATACACCCAAACTTATAGAAATCTGTAACCCAATCCACGAGCCAAGCGTCCAGGTGAGGAGGTTTTGAACACCCTTAAAATCTAAACTCGTGATCATGGTATCCCTCCTCCTTTGTTTCTAGAAGTCCAACAAAGGTTTTGATTGTACAGTATGTTGCAGTAAATGTCTCTGTAGTGATGTCATGGACAGCTGTAGTGGAAAGGTTATTGCTTTAGGACAGCTGCTGCCTGATTGAGCCCCAATGTGCACCTGGAGCTGGAGCTTAAACGTCTTTTAAAATGTCCACCACTCAGAAAAGACTGGAGAAATGCCTCTACATTGGTAGGGAGACTGGAATGTAAGCCTGTGTGCGTGCTTGCCTGTGTGCGTGTGCGTGTGTGTGTGTGTGTGTGTGTGTGTGTGTACAAAAGTGCACATCTCTGGAGCTATCTGGTGAGTGGCAGGGAGGCCAGAGTGTGAAGGGAAATGTTAATGATACCTGTGACAGCTCAGGCAGATAAGCAGGAAAAGGGAGGGTGACAGTGAAAAGGTAGAGTGGGGGAGGGCGGTGGGAGAGTTTGCTTGAGGGATAATTTGCTCTTGAGCTTGTGTTCATTATTCACCCATTCATTTTACTAATAGGATCATTATTATTTGCCGTTTTTATCTGTAACATGCTGTACCAAGACAAGTCAGCAGTCATACAAGTCAACAGGCTTTGTATGTGCGTTGTGTGAAAATGTGTGAAAAGATTTAGAAGATTAATTCATTATTTTCTTAGTTTTTAGAAATTTACTTCAGTTGATTATGGTGCATACTACATTACTTTGTGATAGCTTGCTTCTAAAATAACATGAAATGATCAAATATGGGCATTTATGTTTGGTTAAAATATGGTAAACCACTCAGTAAGTCTGTTTTTGACATTATGTGGTCCATGTTGAAACTATAATTACTTATTTAAGCTCTGTGAGATATTTTTGAAAGTAACTAATAAGCCTGATAATTATATTATAGCTACTATCAAAATACTTAAGTTTTCAAAGTAAATTTTACGCTACTGTTACTTGAAAATAGTATCTGAGAAGCACTGACTCTGGGTTTCACACATCACTCCTGAGTAATTGTGTGGAAGTAGAGCCATAAAAAGTTTCCTTTCCAAGAATGTTGTAGGCTATGTATCAAGTTTCCTCCTCGTGAATGTAAAAGATTTGCCTCCATCTAGTGGTTTTGTGCGGTTCTCAAACTCTTCCACATTGTGAAGAGCAGACACAAACCATAATATTGATGATGGGTTAGGGTTGTGTTTAATGCTTATGATAAAGGTTCAAGCTGACTTTATTTATACCCATGGGTAGATTCTTTTTGCAGTCGAAAAAAGAGAAGAAACATTTCAACAACTAAATTCTGACTTCATTTTAAGCGCAAATAAAAGTGTCAGCGTCTGAGAATTAAATTTCAATTAAATTAAATTCTATGTGTTCTTGTATAGCCCTAAATCACAACAGTAGTTATCTCAAAGGACTTTACAAAATCGTTGAATTCGCCAACACAGATCCAAGAATCAAACAGTTAAATCACAAGAAATAGAATAGAGAACACATTAGTATTGGTCCAGGGGCAGATGACCAATGACCATATGTGTTGATAAAAGTCCATAAATGTTGGGAGTGTCCTGGATCATCAGCACTGTCCTGATAAACACATGAGGGTGTGCCAAAATGTCTACTGTCTGTACTGCTTAGGAGTTATGCCTTGTGTGATAATAATAAGGAGCTGCTTTACATTTTCACCATGAGGTTTTGGAAATTACACTGACAACATTCTGATGAGTTTGGATTAAGTTAGAGGCACTTTTTTTAACGCTCCCAGCATTTGTATCACTCTCACTGCTTTTCATGACCCGCCTGGTTAAACTAGTATTTAGTTTAACCCAGAGTTGAGTCATTAGTTTAAGAATGCTGTTTATCTGGTTTAGATTTCTTCCCTGACTGGTCTGACACATGAAGAGCGCTGTTTAGAAATTCAATATTTTAGTTTCACCCAGTCAAGAAGGACTATTGGACCTCATATGCTGAATTTCAGATGTTGAGAGAAAAGCCAACTCCACCTTCTTGAAGTGTTGTTGAAGACATTTAGCCGTCATGGCCGTCAATTTGAGTAAGAATGGAATTGAGCTCATGGCAGCCTATAAAGACGTTTTGGATGGAAAGTCAGATACAAACTGGTAGGTGATTTATTCAAAAACATTTAGAATAGTCTTTTGAACATGTTACTCTCTTTCTACAGGGCTCTGTTTACTTATGCGGGAAATAGTAACGATATCCGTGTAGCAGAAACAGGATGTGAGATTTTATCATTTTATTTGACATCTGTCTTTGTGCATGAATAATAGAATTGTGGGTCTGTACGCAGATGGAGGTCTGGAAGAGATGTCAGAAGAATTCAACAGTGGTAAAGTCATGTATGCCTTCTGTAGAGTTCAAGATCCAAACTCTGGTCTGCCAAAATATGTTCTCATAAACTGGGTATGACCGATTTTAAAATGTCCTTAATACATAGTTATAGAAATCCTCCTGCTTAGTGGTGTTTTTGTGTGTAGACAGGTGAAGGAGTGAACAGCTCAAGAAAAGGCATTTGTGCTAACCACATCTCCTCCATGGCAAACTTCCTCAAGGTGAGTCGAGATAGTTGATACGTAGTTTTTACATCTGCTTTGTCTGTAACAAGGAGATAGAAAACATGGCTACGCCATGTTGAATTATATCATCCAATGCAAATAATATCACAAATTAAGTACATACAAATTTCATTTCAAAAGACTATTAGACTATTTTGAAGTAGGTCCATTGTACACATTAGTTCATCTTCTGTATTGTGATAATCAATTACATCCAAATTCCAAAAAAGTTAGGAATAACAAGCATGTACTTGTACTTGAGTGTGCCACTTTTCTTTCTGTATAAAGAGAAAATGTACAGTATTACAAACAGAAAAACTCAAATGTGTTTTTTCCTCATACAATCATGCTTTTTAGTGTGAACCTTTTTTAACCTTTGTAATCAGAATACTAACATTCCATTTTCAGTATTGTTTTTGTGTGGCCAGGATCACAGCAGGCGATCATTCGATAGTGTAAATGTAGAGTTAATTTGTAAAAACAGATACCTCCATATAAAAAAGATTATCAAAAATGTATTTCTTCTAGTTTAGCTTCAGTTTCAGTTTATTTACAATTTCACACAGTCACTAAACAGTTCCTGTGCTATATGAAGCTATAAGCTTATGCAGTAGGGGTCCATCACTCTACCACCGCCACCTCGTACAATCCACCTCTTAAGCCATATTCGGTGGAAGAAATTCCAGAGTGCATCCAGCTACATGAATAAGTAATAATAATTTAACTAAAAAGACATTGTTACATTCTTCAACATAGTTACAATCTTCAACAGGTTTGGATATTGGCAGAAAAGTTGAAAGAATTGGCTTGAGCAGGGGCCAATTCTTGAATGGCACTAAAATAGATCTGACTTTTCAAAAAATTTACTTGGTAAAGGGCACATTTTAAGCCTGTCAAATATCTTTTCAAATGCAATGTGTTAATAACATGATATAGACCTTTGCCAGAGGGATATAAGGCACAGTTTTTAGTAAAACATTTACATGTATTAGAATGTATAGCAGCACAACGAGGAATCATAACCATTTTTTATAGATAACATTCATGATTTACAAATATCAAATAAAAACAGAGCGACAGTATTAGGTACATGCAAGAGAAACAGAAATCCAATGCAATTTCAGCCTAAACATCAGAATCCGAATCATTTGTAAGTAACAGGAAGTCCCAGACGAGGAAATGGCAAGGAAACATGACTTAAGCTTGTTCTTTTAGGGAGCTCATGTGACGATCAATGCTCGAGATGAAGACGACGTGGAGCCCAAAGTTATCCTGGACAAAGTGGCGAAAGCATCTGGTGCCAGCTTCAACTTCCGGAATCAGAAACAAGCAGAATATGTGGATGTACCCCGCGGGCCAGTGGTGAGTGAGGACAACACATACACATGGGCCAACTCACTAACTAAACTAACAAATATCCTTTCCCACCACACTTCAGGGTTCAGTTTATCGCAAAGTCAATGCAGTTGAGGAAATACAACAAATCAATAAAGACGACTTCTGGGACAAAGCGCAGGTAACACACGGGAATGCAAATTTTAACGGTGACTGGAGTGTTGACAAATGTCTACGGGATTTATTTGTAGAAAGATGAGGAAATCCGGAAGCGTGAAGAAATCAAACGAGCAGGTCATGAGCAACAGCAGCGAGAGAGAGAGAGGAGGGAGATGGAGGAAAGCCAGTCCAAGCAGAGAGAGCAGAAGGCCAAGGAGAGAGCCCAGCAAATCGAACAAGAGAAGTATGAACACCACAGCTCCTCACCATAACACACACATACGCACACACACACACACACACACACACATGGGCCCTCATTTATCAACAATGCATCTGCGATTTATCATCCACCCTGTAGGCAACTTTTGACATGTTGTCCAGTTCTCTGTCAGTTGTTAACCCGTGCTCAGTTTACAATCCAATGAACATTGTTATTTAGGAGAAAAATGTACTCCCTCAACATTTAGATCAGAATATATTTGCAGGATGAGTGTTACATCACCTTAGAGGAATTTGAGTGATATCATTTATTAGGTAGTTTTCAAGTAATTGTACTAAAATGTGTCTTATTGTCATGCTTGTAGGATGCAGCAGAAGCAGAGGGAGCAGGAAGAGAGAGAGCAAGAACAACAGCGCTGGGTTAGTGATTTAAGGCATTTGTTTTAAGAGTCCAAACTTCCTCTAAAATAAAACTGTCTTAACAGAATCTTGATACAAGGGAAGAGAAGAGGACTGGGATGAATCATGCTGCTTCTGTACAGAAAGCAAATGTGAGTATGTGCTCCATGTATCTCGTGTGCTGTAAATAGTGTCAATATTCTCTTGGCAGAAGGGTTATTTTGCTTATGGTCTCTTATAGGAAGCAAAATCCTTAATTTCTCAAAGATCCTTCAACCCGAGAGACATCTTTAAACAGAAAGAGCAGAGCTTTGATGCCAACAGCTCAAGCAGCCCAGGTGTTTCCAGAACTGGTAAATGCAAAACAAATGTGATCATATATAATCAAATATGGGCATCTGGTCATGTTTGCTTTGGTCGTCTCAGGTAAACTGCAGAGTCCCTTCTTTAATCAGAAGAACACTGAGGCAAAGGATACCGACCCGCAGCCACGGTACAATGCTTCTCCCGTTCCCCTGATCTCTCTGGACCCTGAACCTGCCCATTCCCCAAGCCCCTTGCCCCATCTCTCCCCTGCGTTCCACAACAGATCACCCTCAACACAGCGGGACTACTCTCCTGCCCAGAACATCTCTCCATTGCCCCATGATACCATCGGCTCACCGGATCAGCCTGCAGGTTTTAGTTGGTCCCGATAAATCATATATTGCTTAACTGTTGCAAGTAATGTAGTAAAATAATAATAATAATGTTTAGATGCTGCTTATAATGAAGAAGGAGAGTGGTCAGACGAGTTTGATGACGATGTGGATGAAGCTACTCCTGGTGATGTCACAAACCATTATTCTTTACAATGATAATACTGAATTGACATCTAAATTGTGTGTCTAAGATACCTGTGAATTATTAATGTATATATTCTCTCCAGATCATCAAAACTTGTATGAGGACCCGCAGCCTGGAACAGAGGATGACATATATGAAAATGTACCATACACGTCACAGGTGAGCAGCAATCTAAATGTAATGTAAAGTAAACATTTATTCCAAGTAACTGTTTCTACATCCTCCATCAAAAGGCTACAGAGAACCACGTAGCTGGAAGCGGAGAAGGCATTACTGCCAAAGCTCTTTATGATTATCAAGCGAGTATGTAGTTCTCTCAGCTGCAAGTTGCATTTTGTTGTGTTGTGGCATTACGCTGACATTATATTGTTGTTTCAGCGGATGAGACGGAGATCACTTTTGACCCAAATGACATCATAACAGGGATTGAAATGATCGATGAAGGCTGGTGGAGAGGATTCGGACCTAATGGAGACTATGGGATGTTCCCCGCTAACTATGTTGATCTTATTTAACTTTTGCGTCTATGTATTTTGTAAAAGAATATTAAAATGTGGAGTTACTAAATGTACAGCCTGTGTTATTTGCACGTTCATTTTCAATACATGTATTGCATTACCTTGAGTTGAGTTTTTACTGCCTTATTTCATTATAATTGTGGATAAGAACAGGGAGCAGCATAGGAAGAAATGATAACTTAACTATGTAAAGGTGATTATAGTGGTAAGTGAAATAATCTTGGTGATTATAGTGGTAAGTGAAACAATCTTGGTGATTATAGTGGTAAGTGAAATAATCTTGGTGATTATAGTGGTAAGTAAAATAAGCCTTATTGGAAGAACAAGTGAATTTAATGGAATATAGGGATATTGCATATTACACATTTACACATGTATTTAAAATAAAACAAGCACAATACAAATAGATTTTGTTCAAATTATCGAGGTGGTTCCAGGAGATTGATTCACAATTGTTTATAATTCGAATCCGAAATACGAGAAAACAAAAGGGGGGGAGGCATAGCTGCAGTTTTTAGAGAGCACTTTGTCTCCCATAGAATGCCCCTTGGAAATTTTTCATCGTTTGAGTATATTTCTTTTAAAATGGAACAAAAGCAATCTTCTACTCTTTTCATTGTCCTGTACAGGCCACCACAGTCATGTTGCGATTTTATTGACCATTTTACTGAACTACTTTCATTCGTGTGCACAGATTTTGATAGTTTAGTTATTACAGGTGATTTTAATGTACATGTTGATAATGTTGATGACAGAAATGCAAAGGAGCTGGCTTCTGTATTTGAGACCTTTGGTTTCATTCAGCACGTGAGTGGCCCCACCCACAGCAGGGGGCACACTCTTGACCTGCTAATTACAAAGGGGGTTAATGTATCAAATGTTAATGTAGTTGATGTTGCTTTGTCAGATCATTTCTGTGTATTTTTTGACATGTGTTTTGCTAGCAAACCACCAGCTGAATTTACAACTGTTAGAAGAAGACACATACATGAAAACACAAGTGAACTGTTCATGGGAATGCTAAATTTTGAGAAAACTCCATGCTCTACTGTTGATGAATTGTATAACTCTGTCACCACCAGTGTTCTGACTGTTCTGGACGCCATTGCTCCTGTGACGGTTAAAATAGTTACCAGTAAGAAAAAGGCCCCATGGACTAAGGCAGACTCGGTTAGGGCACAGAAGCAAGAGTGCCGGAGGGCCGAACGGAAGTGGCGAAAGTCCAATTTCCAGGGCGATTATGAAATCTTTAAAGATGAGTTGGGTGAATTTAACCGGGTTCTACGTAGAACAAGAGAAATGTATTTTTCTGACATTATTGGAGGTTGCAGTAACAATTTTCGTGTTATGTTTTCAACAGTTGGTAGATTAACGAACCCCCCTGTAAAGTTGCCCCTAGAATTTTCCTCTAAATCTAGGTGTAATGAGTTCGCACAATTTTTCTATGACAAAGTACAAGGAATCAAAAACACTATCACCTCCACAGCACGTATAACAACGCAACAGCCAGAGAAGCTTTCTGAGCTAACTCACTTTGCACCTGTGGATACTGAAACTGTCAAAAAGATAATCATGAGTCTGAGCTCCTCCACATGTAGCCTGGATATATTGCCCTCTAAATTTCTGAAGTCCGTCCTGAGCAGTTTGTTACCTTCACTGACACAAATAGTAAACATGTCTCTGTCGTCAGGAACATTTCCTATGGCCCTAAAAACAGCAGTCATAAGACCTCTCCTAAAAAAGAGCAGTCTGGATCCTGCGGGACTTCAAAATTATCGCCCCATATCGAATCTGCCATTTATTGGAAAAATTCTTGAAAAAGTGGCCTCCCAACAACTTACTGAATTTTTAACAATGAATAATTCTTTTGATATGTTCCAGTCTGGGTTTAGACCCCACCACAGCACTGAGACCGCTCTAGTGAAGGTAACAAACGACATTCGACTTCACACTGATGCAGGTAAAGTCACAGTTTTGGTCATGTTAGATCTTAGTGCCGCGTTCGACACTGTCGACCATGAGATCCTCATGCGGAGACTGGAGGACTGGGCTGGTGTCACTGGCACAGCCCTAGACTGGTTTAGGTCTTACCTGGAGGATAGGAAGTACTCTGTGGAGATTGGAGACTGCGTCTCAGATGATGTGGCCCTGACCTGTGGTGTACCACAGGGGTCGATCCTGGGACCTCTCCTATTTAATCTCTACATGCTGCCGTTAGGTCAGTTAATACAAAGAAACAAAGTGTCCTACCACAATTACGCTGACGACACTCAGATCTATGTCTCACTGACTGCAGGAGAACATGGACCACTGGATTTGCTCCTTCACTGTATCCAACAGATCAGTGACTGGATGCCAAATAATTTCCTCCAGCTAAATACAGACAAAACCGAAATCATTGTCTTTGGTCCCCAGAAACAAAGAGAGGGCGTCATTTGTCAACTTCAGTCTCTCTCCCTACTTCCTTCAGACAAGGTCAGAAATTTGGGGGTAATACTGGACTCAGACCTAAATTTCAATAGCCACATAAAATCAATAACATCAACAGCTTTTTACCATCTGAAGAACATTGCCAAAGTTAGAAATATAGTGTCCAGGGCAGACTTGGAGATTCTTGTCCATGCATTTGTCTCCAGCAGGCTAGACTACTGCAATGGCCTGCTTACAGGTCTGTCCAAACAGACCTGTAAGCAGCTGCAGTACATCCAAAATGCAGCAGCTAGAGTCCTGACAGGAACCAGGAAGTATGACCATATTAGTCCGGTCCTCAGGTCTCTGCACTGGCTTCCTGTGGCTCAAAGAATAGATTTTAAAACGGCTCTGCTTGTGTACAAGTTCTCTCCATGGCCTTGCACCAGAATACATTAGTGACATGTTGGTGTCATATGAACCAGCCCGGACTCTGAGGAGCACAGGGACTGGCCTCCTGCTGGTGCCCAGAGTGAGAACCAAACATGGGGAGGCTGCGTTTCAGATCCATGCAGCTAAGATCTGGAACAATCTCCCTGAAAATGTGAGGGAGGCGTCTACTCTGTCAATGTTCAAATCCAGGTTAAAGACTATTCTGTTTGCCTGTGCATACAACTGAAGGATTTTATCTCCATTTTTAATGCACTGCTGTCATTTATTTATTTTTTTAAATTTCTTGTGTAATTTTGAAAGTTTTAATGGTTTTATTCTTTTGTGTGATTTTAATGTTTTAATTGTGTTTTAATCTTTTGTGTGATTTTAATGTTTTAATTGTGATTCTGGTGTTTGTTTTATGTGATGATTTGTGATGTGGACTGTGAAGCGCTTTGTGTTGCCCTGTGTATGAAAGGCGCTCTACAAATAAACTTTGATTTGATTGATTGATTGATAGTCAATTAGTGAGCTCATTATATTTGTAAAGTCAATCAAAGATCAAGTGGAAAAGCGAGATATAATTTCAAGAATTATTTACAATTCAAAAATAACAAAAAAATATTGTTGTCAATTGTTCTATGTTCATTGTAAAACATTCTTTATTACTGTGTAAAGGGGTATCGTTTCTGGAGATTTACGTCACGGTCTCTGCGTCATCATTGTGCGTCTGTTGAACAAGCGGCGAAGGAGAAATGGCTGCAAGGTTACTGCTCCGCTCGGCTTTTAGAGCTGCCACAACATGCCGATCTGCCCGGGTTCCCGTTATGACCCGCACTATGGCTGGAGGTGAATGTAATATGAAACAAAGCTCTTGATGGTGTTAGAAAAAGGACTTTTGAAAAATCCCAACGCGATGTTGTTTTGTGCTAAGCTAGCAGTGCGTAGCTAACCGTGGCTTCCGTAGTTTTGAGAGGTCAAGTGTCTGCCTTTCGTTCAGAATAGCTGTTTATTGTTTTGTTACTAAATGCAACAAAACATTATCTTTGATCATCATAATCGTATAGCTTCCCACCTGCTGTTTAGTTGGTATTTTGATTCTAGTGTTCACTTCGGAAATGCCCTTTGCCTGTATCCTCTTTGGTAACGCAAGTGTAGTTCTTATTAGTCTTAAATGTGTGTCTTAAAACACCAAGGTGATCATACATCTTAATTTCTCCATCCTTGAAGATGAATGAATAGTAGATAATGGATGTATATATAATATTCTCGTCATGTGCACATTATGATCAAATGCATGTCATTGTTGACGTTGTACTGTCTTTATACTTTCAAAGGAATTCCCAGTGATAAAGACCAGGCCACTGGACTTGAGAAGGTCATCATGCGGGCCATGGAAGAAGGAACAGTATGTTATTCATGTTTATCTTTTTTATTAATTCTGCATTCACTACAGATAAATTTACATAAATACTTGTACGGTTCTCAATTGTGAGATCGAGACAGTTGTATGATTTCTTACTCTATGTAGCTGAATAATAATATTGCTGATGTTGAAAGAGTTGTGAGAAATCCACAATGTTTTGTCCTTTTTAAAGAATATAATTCCCCTTTTGTTGGTGGTAATGTAACAATATTACATTTTTATACCTCCATCAAAACCTCTATGGAGAGATTTAATATATCAATCCATAAAAACATTAAGATGTATTAATATAGTCCGCCATTGATTGCATTTCGATTGTATATAGCGGTGTTTAAACTTTTTAGAAAGAGGGTCACTTTAGTTCATAAATATTGTCCTGAGGCCGACACATGGATTGACTGAATCCAAGCTGTTCTTAGCTTTGAAATGAGTTATGATGACATGGGTCTTGACGGAGTTGAAGTTTGCTGAAAAACATCACACATGTGGCGGAGCTGAAGTTGGCTGAAAGACCAATGTTTACTCACCAGATAAATTAGTGTTATACATTCTAAAAGAAATGTCAATTTAGTCAAAGTGTCAAAGACTGGATTTCAGAGGTCCTGAGTTTCACAAGCAGGTATAACATGCTTATCTTGGCAGAGCTGAAGTTGGCTGGATGACACTGAACTTGTCTTTATGATTTTAAAGACTACTTGGAGACAATTGGCTCGTGGGCCATAGTTTGGACATGCCCGATCTAGTCTGTACCTACTCCATTATAATACAGAACATGTCCTTTGTTTCCCTTGTGTAGGATCCTTACAGCATGATGAAGCCAAAGGAATACGCAGGCTCTAAGAGCGACCCTCATCTTGTCCCTTCTATCAGTAACAAAAGAATCGTTGGCTGCGTGTGTAAGTGAACTCTCATTCATGCTTTCTATGGTCAACTACTGTAGATGTAGCCATGTTTCAGCATTCACATCTGTGTTTGATGTGTTTTAGGTGACGAAGACAACACAGCAGTGATTTGGTTCTGGCTGCATGAAGGTGAACCACAGCGCTGTCCATCATGTGGCGCTCACTACAAACTGGTCGCCCATGAACTCCCTCATTAATATGTATATTGCAAATAGTTATTTTAAGCCTCAGTGACATACTTTGGGCACACAGCATCTATATTCCATTGGGACCAGATGAAAGTATCAGACAGTTTTGGCTTTCGCTCCATGAATACATTTTAGTTTGAATATTCTTGTGTATTTAATCCCAATCTGTTGCAGTACTTGAATTTTCCAACCAATTTTACATTACCTCACCACTCCTTTCAGACAAGAGGGAACAATACTGGTTCTGGGGCATCAATTTTATGTAACAATAGTTAACATGTACAATGTTACACTTAACCAATAAAATGAATATCTGTGTCTATTTTTGTGGTTATTTTTATGTAGTCTTTATCAGGCAGTGAAGAGAAATATATATCAATTGATCATATTTTTGGGGTATTTTACGTCACTGGTGTACTTAATCTACATATTAAAATCATTCTATGGTCATAGTGTACGTAGACATTTCACTGTGGGCCATTAAAACATGTTTTCCCATTCTTCCCATACAGTTTATCAGTCTGGAACAAGTTATAAATCCCCATGGAGTTTTGATGGAAACCTGAGCAGGTGTACCCTTCGCAGCTACACACCAGTGGGGGGCCCTGACGCACAGGGTTTGATAAGGTGTAAAAAAACACCAATTATTTAGGGGTTGTTATTTAATCTTGGTTTGTATAACCCATAACCCCCCATACCTACTTTCTGTGTTTGTACTGAAGCAAATATGTGAAATCTGCGGTCATAAGTCTGCCTCGAGACCCATACTGTCCCACAACTCCAGCAGATTAGGACATGGAAAGTGACATTTTTACATAAACATGAGGCGATGTTGAGCAAGTTTGATTGACATGTCGCAGACCAGAGGGGCTCATGGGGATGCGCTGCAGTCTAGGAGGTGCTCAGTGGGAGAGAGGAGGCAGACGAGAGGAATTTTTGGATGAGAAAAAGTGAACTCTGCTTCATTGAGAAACAGTAACTCACTGTGTCATTAAAACATGTGGATAAAGCTGTGTAAAAGTAAAATGTGAACAAATCAGACCTCAACATGCCTTCACCTTAAGAGAAAACATGTTTTCTCCATTCTTGTAAGAAAGAACCCTGTGAGTCACTGATACTTTGGGCTAAGTGAGGATGGTCCTCTGTTTTTCCATTTTCTGTTTAATGAAACTGATCTAAATCTGGTACAAAAAAACACAGGCATGGGAAAACTAGTGATAGAACTGTTTTGGGTGCAAGCAACTAGCTTTTAGTTCAATTTCTTTGTGGTTGAAAGCTAGGTACTCCAGCTTTTAATGGTAATTTGTTCGGTGAGAAAACCAAGCGTGGTGAGTGCGTAGGAAGAGTGAGGCAGAGGCCGATCCAGAAACTCAATTCGTTTGCATTTAGGGCTGTAATTAAACAGTATTTTGAAAATTAATTATTTGGATAATAATGTATTACTTTTTTGATTAGTTGTTTAGATCCCAAAGGGTCAGTGAAAATGGGATTTTGTTTACACATTTGAACAGATCAATGCCCCTGTGATCATAAAGATGAAACACAACAATACATTGTAAACACATTTTCTTTTCATTCTGCAGTCATAGAATTATCAAAATCATATAACATAGAAATTGTACAATGGCTGAAACCATTGTGAGTGACTGCATACAATAAACAAAAACAAGTCCAGGCAAGGCAAAGCAACTTTATTTGTATGGCACAATTCATGTTGTGCTATACAAATTCAACTCAAGGTGTTGAACAAAATAAGATAGCATTAAAATCATAAATAATCACTACATTAAAAAGAAAGATAAAATATAAAATTCCTCAGTTGTATGCACAGCTAAACAGAACTGTTTTTAACCTGGTTTTAAACATTGTCTGAGAGGAGGCCTGTCTCACACTTTCAGGAAGATTGTTTCAGATTTTAGCAGCATGAATCTGAAATGCACCCTCCTTATGTTTAGTTCTGACTCTGGGCACTAACAGGAGTCCAGTCCCTGTGCTCCTCAGAGTCCGGGCTGGTTCATATGGGACTAACATGTCTAAACAAAGTGCTACAAAACACTCAACGCATAACTGTATTCATTATTATTGTGATGAGTCCATTACAACGATCAGGAAAATGAAAAACTTTTAAAAAGAGTGGAAAATAAATTCGTTTTTACTGAAACATATGGAAACGTTACAAGTACTGCAAATACTACAAGACTTAGAAGTATTAAAGAAACTTACCACTATGTTCAAAGTATACATAAGACAAACCATTCAACGTGTAAAAAAAGACAGCTAAAAGTACAACCTTAGGTACAAACACTACAAAAGATAAATAACCCAAAAGTAATAGACTTCATGAGACGATATACCCGATCAAAATCTGGCAGAAGAAGACGGATGGAATTAAGAAAATTAGATCTGGATAATGCAGTCACTATATTACTTGTGACATATATATTCACAGTCAGTTTTGCTCATAAAAACCAAATAAAAAACATTTGGCATCAACCCCACCTGTGTGAGTGGTGTACACGTTAGAATGCAGACTGCAGAGAATGTGACACGTTTTCTGTGAGTGTGTTCCAAGCAGCGGAGAAACGGTGTCACTGAACATCTTCAACACTCAACCCCGCAGCTTTTAATTAGTGACACTTGACTTATGAAACTGACGAGGCCTCCTTCACTTTATTAAAGGGGTAGTGTGCACCTCCGTCTCACCTCCTGTTGCTTCTTTCAAGTCTCTGTCTTATCTCTGCTGTGCACTCTGTCTTCCCTGTGATCTGAGCTGTCAGGCAGATGTTTCAGAGGCTGTGCTAACCTACATTTGTGACAGCGAGTGCCTCATACAGCATTGTGATCCTCAGTGTGGGCGAGACCAGAGCACTGATAGAAACTGCATTTCTCCAGAGAGGTTTGACCCTTTCTACATGCTTGAAGAAAAATATTGTCTCCTCCGGAATTTTAATTTAAGAGAAAAAAGGTGTTGAAATGAGTTGAATGAGTGCAAGCAAGACCGGACTGTGCAGGTTTTTGTGGCAGCCTATGTAGAACTCAAATCAATTCAGTGTGTATGTGCAAGTAAGTAATATTTATCTATATAGCACATTTTTAGAGACCAAGGTCACCCAAAGCACTTTACAATGTTCAGTTTTCAGGTATGGTTCAATTCCCTCCACACACGGTGGGACGCCGACCACACTGGTGCATCAATGCCCCTGAGCAACAAACAACATCCATTCACTCACTACAATCTTACCTATTGTGCATGTTTTTAGTGGTAGGGGAAACCGGAGCACCTGGAGGAAACCTATGCAGACACGGGGAGAACATGCAAACTCCACACCGTAAGGCCCTGTTTCAACCGGGACTCGAATCCAGGACCTTTTTGCTGAGAAGCGAGAGTGATATTCACTCAGTCTCTGTGTCTGTCTGTCTGTGTGTGTTTCTCTCTCATTGTCTCTCTCTCTGTGTGTCTGTGTGTCTCTCTCTCTGTGTGTCTGTGTGTGTTTCTCTCTGTGTGTTTCTCTCTCATTGTCTCTCTCTCTGTGTGTCTGTGTGTCTCTGTGTCTCTCTCTCTCTGTGTCTGTGAGTCTCTGTGTCTCTCTCTCTGTGTGTCTGTGTGTCTCTGTGTCTCTCTCTCTGTGTGTCTCTGTGTCTCTCTCTCTGTGTGTCTGTGTGTCTCTGTGTCTCTCTCTCTGTGTGTCTGTGAGTCTCTGTGTCTCTCTCTCTGTGTGTCTGTGAGTCTCTGTGTGTCTGTGAGTCTCTGTGTCTCTCTCTCTGTGTGTCTGTGTCTCTCTCTCTCTCTGTGTCTGTGAGTCTCTGAGTCTCTCTCTGTGTGTCTGTGAGTCTCTGTGTCTCTCTCTCTGTGTCTGTGAGTCTCTGTGTGTCTCTCTCTCTGTGTGTCTGTGAGTCTCTGTGTCTCTCTCTGTGTGTCTGTGAGTCTCTGTGTCTCTCTCTCTCTGTGTGTCTGTGAGTCTCTGTGTCTCTCTCTGTGTGTCTGTGAGTCTCTGTGTCTCTCTCTCTGTGTGTCTGTGTGTCTCTCTCTCTGTGTGTCTGTGAGTCTCTGTGTCTCTCTCTCTGTGTCTGTGAGTCTCTGTGTCTCTCTCTCTGTGTCTGTGAGTCTCTGTGTCTCTCTCTCTCTGTGTGTCTGTGAGTCTCTGTGTCTCTCTCTCTGTGTCTGTGAGTCTCTGTGTCTCTCTCTCTGTGTCTGTGAGTCTCTGTGTCTCTCTCTCTGTGTGTCTGTGAGTCTCTCTCTGTGTGTCTGTGAGTCTCTGTGTCTCTCTCTCTGTGTCTGTGAGTCTCTGTGTGTCTCTCTCTCTGTGTGTCTGTGAGTCTCTGTGTCTCTCTCTGTGTGTCTGTGAGTCTCTGTGTCTCTCTCTCTCTGTGTGTCTGTGAGTCTCTGTGTCTCTCTCTGTGTGTCTGTGAGTCTCTGTGTCTCTCTCTCTGTGTGTCTGTGTGTCTCTCTCTCTGTGTGTCTGTGAGTCTCTGTGTCTCTCTCTCTGTGTCTGTGAGTCTCTGTGTCTCTCTCTCTGTGTCTGTGAGTCTCTGTGTCTCTCTCTCTCTGTGTGTCTGTGAGTCTCTGTGTCTCTCTCTCTGTGTCTGTGAGTCTCTGTGTCTCTCTCTCTGTGTCTGTGAGTCTCTGTGTCTCTCTCTCTGTGTGTCTGTGAGTCTCTCTCTGTGTGTCTGTGAGTCTCTGTGTCTCTCTCTCTGTGTCTGTGTGTCTCTGTGTCTCTCTCTCTCTCTGTGTGTCTGTGAGTCTCTGTGTCTCTCTCTCTGTGTCTGTGAGTCTCTGTGTCTCTCTCTCTGTGTCTGTGAGTCTCTGTGTCTCTCTCTCTCTGTGTGTCTGTGAGTCTCTGTGTCTCTCTCTCTGTGTCTGTGAGTCTCTGTGTCTCTCTCTCTGTGTCTCTCTCTCTGTGTCTGTGAGTCTCTGTGTCTCTCTCTCTGTGTGTCTGTGAGTCTCTCTCTGTGTGTCTGTGAGTCTCTGTGTCTCTCTCTCTGTGTCTGTGAGTCTCTGTGTGTCTCTCTCTCTGTGTGTCTGTGAGTCTCTGTGTCTCTCTCTGTGTGTCTGTGAGTCTCTGTGTCTCTCTCTCTCTGTGTGTCTGTGAGTCTCTGTGTCTCTCTCTGTGTGTCTGTGAGTCTCTGTGTCTCTCTCTCTGTGTGTCTGTGTGTCTCTCTCTCTGTGTGTCTGTGAGTCTCTGTGTCTCTCTCTCTGTGTCTGTGAGTCTCTGTGTCTCTCTCCTGTGTCTGTGAGTCTCTGTGTCTCTCTCTCTCTGTGTGTCTGTGAGTCTCTGTGTCTCTCTCTCTGTGTCTGTGAGTCTCTGTGTCTCTCTCTCTGTGTCTGTGAGTCTCTGTGTCTCTCTCTCTGTGTGTCTGTGAGTCTCTCTCTGTGTGTCTGTGAGTCTCTGTGTCTCTCTCTCTGTGTCTGTGTGTCTCTGTGTCTCTCTCTCTCTGTGTGTCTGTGAGTCTCTGTGTCTCTCTCTCTCTGTGTGTCTGTGAGTCTCTGTGTCTCTCTCTCTCTGTGTGTCTGTGAGTCTCTGTGTCTCTCTCTCTCTGTGTGTCTGTGAGTCTCTGTGTCTCTCTCTCTCTGTGTCTGTGAGTCTCTGTGTCTCTCTCTCTCTGTGTCTGTGAGTCTCTGTGTCTCTCTCTCTGTGTGTCTGTGAGTCTCTCTCTGTGTGTCTGTGAGTCTCTGTGTCTCTCTCTCTGTGTCTGTGTGTCTCTGTGTCTCTCTCTCTCTGTGTGTCTGTGAGTCTCTGTGTCTCTCTCTCTCTGTGTGTCTGTGAGTCTCTGTGTCTCTCTCTCTCTGTGTG